GATTAGTCAGTATCTTGGTACTGTAAGTTGCTCAATCAATCAATCACTCAGTCAGTAATATATAATCAGTCATTGAATCAGCCAGTCAGTCAGTTACAAGCAGACAAAGGAGGATTATGTTACCATCTTCCTGCCATGCATTGTGCTCAAACTATATTATCAATGGCCAAATCTCACTGTATGACTCATTTCAAAGTGTTGCCACACAGAAAACACACGGGCACAAGAGAGATACACGAAATAATCCAGTATATACTCTGCATAATCTGTATCAATCTCACTATAAAATTTCACAAAATAACTACAGATGCCCTTTTCAGGCCTAAGATTTTGTTAACTGTTGAAATTCTCCATTGAGATTGTTTGACTGCTTTTAAATAAAAGCTGATAAACCCTTGTTACGGGGGTCCGCAATGAAATAAAAATTAAATTATACTTCTCAAATGCTGGCTATGCAATTTGTAGTAAACTATGAATTGAATATCAAAGGTATAAAAGAACCTGGCTGTGAGAAACTCAGTATGTGATTTTTAATACATTTATAATTAACATGACTAGTAGATATCTATGATATCGATGTATGAACTGACATGTATGCACCTTTCGCAGCTTCAAACACTGTTGACTTTCAACACTACTGCTACAAAACAGTAACTACAGATACAGTAATCTCCTGTCTGAATGCATGAAAAAGAAAAATAATGCTTTTTAATGGGAAACTTGTCGAAAATATTACCAAATGCACTCCGCGCGCAATGGGAGCGCTTCTTTCTCATCATAACAGATAGCCCTAAAAATACTCCACATTGATGATAAAATTTTTCATCATCATCATTTATTTATTAGCCTTTGTTACAACAAATTTTACAGGATACAGCAGGTTGTTAGGCGAGGAGACCTCAAGAAACCACCAGGCTTATAAAGGGAGGCCACCTCGACATCAAAATATTATAAGCAATAAGGGCTGCGTAGAAGTGGGACTAAACTAATTCTGATCAATAACTATTTCAATAAAAACTCTAGCACTTTGTTCTTAAATATAGAAAAGCTTGACAAGTTTGTAAAAGATGCAGGAAGACAGTTCCAGATTCTAGGTCCTTTGTAAAGAATTGTAAATTTCTTGGTGTTCTTACAACAGGAATGCACCCGATAATTACTGGTTGTTCTGGTGTCATATCTATGGACTTGACTGTTTGTCATAAACAGATTGTGGAAGAGTGGAGGCAGCAGATTATTGTGGTTGCAAAACATAAATTTAGCAGTATCAAGCGTATTGACTTGGAAAATATCTAGAAATTCCAATTTGGAGAATAGAGGAGCAGTAATAGCTTGCACAGCCCGCTTATAGTAAATTCTGTTTAAATTAGATATGTAGTAGACCACCACATGGAGTTACAATAAGTAATATAAGGATAAATTAATGTGTAGTGCAGCGTGAGTTTGGTCTTACAAGATAAGTAGAAACACATCCTGGATAAAATACTGATTGATTCAGTGATTTGTTTACAGACAAAGTTTATGTGATATTTCCAAGTAAGATGTTCGTCTAGGTACACTCCAAGAAATTTAGTTACATTGCTTCGAATTAGAGGTTGGTCTGGGAAAATGTGGAGTCGAAAGGAGTTGACTGGGTTCATTACAATGTTTTAAGTATGATAGAGTGGATTTCTCTCTCAATTCTAAATCGCCTCCTTGTTTCATCACTGTAATGAATTATTCAAAAATACTATGTATACAGCAGATAAGCAGCTACACATGATGAGAGAAAGGTCACACAGTCAAGTCTTACAAAAAAAAAACTAATTAATCACAAAATCATTCTGTCATCCTCATGAAAGATGAGAAATTACGCTAAAACCTACTTCACCTCCATATCTTATCCATGAAGCAGCAAACATTTCTCCAAAACTTTAGGTAAGATTCATGTTTTCATATCACAGACCATAAAAAATCACCCCATAAAAGGCACAAGGCATGCTGGGAAGATGGTAATATCCTCCTTTCAAGAAGACAGTCAGCCTGTAGCTTAGTAGCTCAGTCAGTCAGTCAACATGGCTAGCAAAGCAAATTAATCAGTTGATCAGTCAGTCAATCAGTCAGTTGGTCAGTGAGTAAGTCAGGACAGTCACTTAGCTAGCTCCTCAGTTAGTAAGTCAGTTAGTCACTTAATTGATTTGTCAGTCTGTCAGTCACATAGCCAGTCAGTTAGTACATTGCTTAGTCATCCAGTCACCCAGTCAGTTACTCAGTTGCTCTGTCTGTCAGTCAGGCAGTTATTCAGTTGCTCAGTTGGTCAGTCAGTCATTTATTCAGTTGAGCATCAAGATAATTATTAATTACGTTATACCCTTAAAGGCAAAATTTCTTTTTTTAATTTGTTTCAGATTTAATTTTTCATTAATGAGGGTTATAAGGGATAACAAGGAATTACAGGGGGTTATGAGGGGTTCCAGGGGGTCACAAGAGAGTACAAGAGGTTACAGGGGGTTTCAATTGGTTAAAGGGGGGCTATTGTACTACTGGTGGTTACAGGGTTTACTGGGAATTACAGGCGGGTTTTATTTAATTTGGAATTATTCTCTTTTATTTTGCCTTTTATTTACAAAACATCTCGTTTTTTAATTTTTCTGTTTTATTGGAAACAGTTATTAAAGATTGATAAAATTCTTATCTCCCAACTGTGGTACACTAGATGGTGAAATAACTGTCAAATGAAAGAATTTAAGGTACATGGTATAGCTTAATAAAACTTTTAACCAAACCGTTCTGCTTATCTGGTTCGCTTAAGAGCTGGATTAAAACACAAAACATACAGCACTTACAGTACTGAAGATAACAGAGGCTCTTGGCTCATGAAGATCCTTGTCCAGTGTTCCTGTGGCATCTGATCTGGAAACAAAAGTTTAAATATATTCAATGAAGCTCATCAGTTATTTTCAGAAAAGACCAATTTCCCATGACATTCAAACCTTGCTTTACAGATGCCCACTTAGTTTAGAAAGCTTATTATTATGGAGAGTTTGCTTTGTTCCTGGGGAAAGAAAGCCATTACACTTTCTCTAAATTCCACCTTCTCAATACAGTCAAGCTGTTAATATGGACACTTTCTATTGTCCCCTTAGTGTCCAAATTACAAAAGCTTTGACTGTATCACATTTTCATGAAAACCAGTGAGCAACCATTGTTGGAATAATTTAGCACATATGATTACAGTACCGTTCAAAAGTAAGTTGACAGTCCATTGCGAGTCTCGATTCGATTCACGATTTTCGATTCCTGCGCAAATAGAGAATCAAGAATTAAGAACAAACTATTGAGAATCAAGTCGAGGATTGAGTCTTGCAAGAAGGAAAACAAAAGATTTACCCATGACTGATTTCTCGATAATTTTGTATGGCTGTAACACAACGCGGCATGGTTATACAGTGGACTCCCGATAACTCAAACCCTCACTAACTCAAACCAAAATCGATTTCCCCTGGATTTCCATCATACGTTCACTGTAATTTTACCCTCGGTAACCAGAACCCCATGATAACTCGAATCCTGCTAACTCGAACCAATTTTCGTTTCCCCTCAGGTCATTTTCTATATGATTTTACCCTCGATATCTTGAACCATGTTTTGGGCCATGAAAAAGTCGGGAAAAAAGCCATCTACTGGCGTCCGAAACATAGAATTTAGGATTTCCTGTTGATGTGTTGTAGGAGTATAGTTCACTAGTGGAAGCTAATGTTGATGGTCACAGGCTAACATAAAGCAGCTTTACTTCTCAAAACAGTAAAACGCATGCTCTATTTAGGCTACCTTTTGTTACATTACGTTCTGATTTATAATCTAGATGTATCTTTTAATTTTCACTTGACATTTCTACAATTAAATGTGATTAAAATGTTTACTGTGCAGTGAAAAGTGTTTTTTACCTTACTCTCGGCTATTTTCTTCGAGCTCCCGATAACTTGAACTCCAGATAACTCGAACTTTTTTCGATTTCCCTTAAAGATTTGAGTTATCAGAAGTCAACTGTATTCATGCAAGCGACTGTATACTCTAAACAAGACTAATTCAAGCTATAAAGCGAATGTTTCTTTAAGGCCAGCTGTATCACGCTTTGTTTCCTCAAATAAAGTTTCAAATGCCTGCTCCTAATGCATACAAACAGTGCATACTCGCATACAAGCAAGAGCATGTTTATTTTGTAACGTCAAACAATTCTGGGCTTATCCGGCCGCTTAAATTGATAAAGATCAGCTGTAACGTACACGTCCGTCTATAACGTGACTAATATTTTGCTCTGAAATTGTGTTCATGATCCTGAGAAACTTTTGAGAAACAATGATTTTAATTCTACTTGGAAATTTACTGTGTTCTTTAAAGTTTCAGGAAATCTCTCACAAAATTGGCCTGCTAATTTTTCCACGATGATGATACGCATGAACTACTTGTTGCCTAGCACATGACTGCAGCTACTGTGATGAAAAATTACACGAACGGATTGTATTGCATGACACTAAAAATTGTTTTCAAAGCACTTTCAGACTGTATATGAAATGACATAATCAGAAAGTTGTAAAAATCATAAATTGGTTGTCATTTATTACACCAACAAGCTACTACCTTATTTAACAAATTGTTTTTAACAAATTGCATAATTTTAAATCCTTGTCACCACAGTAATCCCATTCAACAGTCATCCCAGAAATCCTAAATTTACCAGTCATTCTTGTCAATAATCCCATTGCTCAACTCTAAAACAGTATTATTCATCCAAGATGATTTCTTTTGTTTTACCAGCCAAGAATTTTATTATAATAACCCCATTCATCATCCAGTCATCCCAGTTGTCCCAAATCCAATTATTCATCTCAGTCATCCCAGTAATCCCAGTCATTCTAGTTATCCCAGTCATCCTAGTAATACAAGTCATCCTACTGTTTTCAAGTCGGAAAGTTTCCTCAAATACAAACTGAAAGGAAGTCAATGCTCCCTATTGATTGACGATGGCAGCTGGCCGCAGTTTCAGGCTCTCAGCAAATTTATGTGTCTTTCTCTGTATTTACGTGGCTTTCGAACGTCATAGGATTTCATACTCATGGGAGAACACCTTATCAGACGACAGAGAAACATTTTTCATTTCACAGATCAATTGCAGGACTGAAATTGCAGCAGCTTCATTTCGCCAAAGTCAACCGACCCATAGGTACGAGTTTGATCGCCTTCAGAAGGGCGTAATGCTCTGTAAACTTTTTCAGCACACCTGCTTTGCCCTGACTCTTATTGCCTTGGCTGGAGATATTGAGTCAAATCCTGGCTACCTGACATTCGATGGTATTAAGACCACTTGAGGTCTCAAGATTACTCACTTGAAATTCAGACTCTTTGCATCTCAAGGGAATTGACAACAACACCATCAACGCACTTTGTCTGAAACTGGGTTGGACAGCTCTACAAGCGATGTGGAAATTAAACTTCCTGGGCTTGTGTGTGTTAGACAAGACCGCATTGGAGAGAAAGAGGGATATGGTGGTGTTACAATTTATATCAGGGAAGGATCGGCATTTCGTCTACAGAATGACATTAACACTGGCAGCCAGGAATGTTTATGGATTGAGTTGATTCGGGTCAAATGCAAACCCACGTTAATTTGCTGTGCTTATAGAGCTCCAAAGGCTGACTTCCAAACCTTTATTTCAGCATGCCTAATGTTGACCTGGTAAAATCAGATGTGATCATTTTAGGAAACCTTAACACTAATATGATGTCCAATTCGAAATTGCCAAAAAATGATAAACACGAACTACTCAATTTTTCGGGCACTTTTGACTTGACTCAGTTAATAAAAGAGCCCACTCGAATAACTGACACCTCTAGGACACTGATTGATTTAATTTTTGTCAATAATGATCATCGTGTTGTTAAATCTGGTGTTATTCCAGTTCTGCTGAGTGATCACTACTTGGTGTTTTGCATTTTGAAAGTTGGTGTTTTTATTAAGGCCCAACTGAGATCATTTGAGTATCACTCTTACAAGAATTTTGATGCTAATTTATTTAATGATGAACTTAGGAATGTTCCGTGGCGCATCACTGAGAACGAAAGCAATATAGATGACGCCCTGTTAACCTGGAATAAATTGTTTTCTGAGGTTGCAGATTCTCACACACCTATCTAAAGGCAGCGTGTTACATGGACACCACTTCGCTGGATGAATAATAAAATCAGGGAAACATGAAAGAACGAGACTGGATTCATCGAAAGGCATTGAAATCAAACTCCTCGCAACACTGGAACACCTATAGAAAACTGAGAGACAAGGTCAACTGCTTAGTTAAATCTGGCAAGATGAAGTATTACTCTGACTTGTTTCAGGATGCCAAAGGGAATGCGAAGAAAAAAGTTTGGAATGAGATCAATGAAGTTTGTTATCGCAACTCTACTTCAGAAAGTGTCCAGTGCATTATTTCTGATGAAATTCAGCACACTACACCTAAATCTATTGCTTCAGCAATGAATAGCTTTTTTGCGTCTATTGGTAAGCGACTGGCTGATAAAATAACAACTACTTAGCCAAGTTGTAATTCAAAAACAGATTTGCCGAAGTCTCAGTTGCAGTTGGCTGAACTAGAGGAATCATTTGTGCTTCAGGAGCACCTCACTCTGAAGACAAACAAGGCAATCGGCTTGGACAAAATTAGCGCAAGTTTGCTCAAAAACTCTGCTCATACGATTGCGCTATCGGTTACTAAGTTACTGAATCTATCAAATAAAACTGGTAAATTTCCTAAATTGCGGAAATGTTTTAAAATAGAGCCCTGTTTAACTCAGGGAACAGGAAAAATGCATCAAACTACCGACCTATGTCTATTCTGCCTACACTCAGCAAGATTCTTGAGAAAACTGTACATACACAGTTATACCACTTCCTGGTTGCCAATAAACGCCTCTCAGGAAAACAGTTTGGATTTCGGAAGGGACTGTCCACTATATCTGCTGTGACATCCTTTGCTGACGAAGTCCTTCTCAATGTGGAACAGGGTAGACTATGTGGAGCCGTGTTTTTGGACCTAACAAAAGCTTTTGACAAGGTGGAACATCAGATCTTGTTGTCTAAGCTATAGGCATATGTTTTGTTGTAATGCATCCCTCTATGCAGAAGACACCGTGATTTACTTTTACAGCTCATCTTCCCAGGAGCTCAGTGATAATCTAGATCGCGACTTGTTGGCCGTAGGGAAATGGCTAAACAATCACAAGCTAACTTTGAATCTCGAGAAAACCAAATGTATGCTTGTAGGTAGTAATAGGAAATTGGAAAGAAAAATGGCTGTAATAGTATTAATCTTCGACCACAATGTAAATAATGTCAACAGCTTCAAATACCTTGGAATTGTTATATCATCTGATTTTACAAGGACAAACCATGTTGAATACATTGCTGGCAAAACTAATCAAAGGCTTGGTCTCCTTAATCGCATTAAGCATTTACTACCTTTTAGTGCACTCCTTCTTTTTTATAATAGTCTTGTCGTGCCTTTATTTGATTCTGCAGACCTTGTTTGGGGAGACAAGCATAATGTAACCTTAATGACCAGTTTGCAAGTCTTGCAGACTAAAGCGGCTAAAATAATTTTAGACAGACCTCTTTATTCATCTGCTATGCATGCACTTACCACTCATAAGTGGGTTCCATTAGAAAAAGGGCATTTTCAGAGAAGATGTAGTTATGTGTATAAGTGTTTAAATGGACTTGTTGAGCATGATATGAACTTCATAAGACAGCAAGAACAACATGATTATAATACCACAACTAAGCTGAATCTCAGACTTCCAAGTGCCAAGAGGAATTGGGGCAAACAACGCAATGCATTTCATGCCATCAAGGATTTTAACTCCTTTAGCCAGGCAATCAGACAATCCGTGAATCTTAATATTTTTAAACGTAATCTTTTTAAATTTGTAACTTAAACGCGTTTCATGCCATCAAAGATTTTGACTTCCTTAGCCAGGCAATCAGACAATCCGTGAATCTGAATATTTTTAAACGTAATCTTATTAAATTTGTAATTTCAATGAATGTGAGTTAATATCTTGTACATTTTAATAGTTGTTACATATTTTAGCTTTTTAATGTCTTTGCGAATTGTGTGTTTTGTATTTTCTTTTTTTAATTTTATGAGATCCTTTTTGAAAACCATATTTTATATGAAAAAGTCATCTCAATAAATATTATTATTAACAGGAGTTTGTGGAAAGCTGGGCTAGCCGAGATTTTGAAGAAAAAACAACTTTTACAAATGATAGCCTGAGTGAATGGCGATGTTGTGTATGAATCAACGAAAAGTCCAAACAATTTTGGGGGGCCCAAAGCGCATGCGTCTATGAAGAACCGTACCATAAGTGAGTGAAATGAGTTTTCGATCTAAATATATAGGTCGATTTTCTATAGCAAAGTTAGGTCGATTATTTCCGGTGGGGTTATAGGGCGGTGAGAGATGGCCAACTCTCTGAAGCCTGCTTGACTAATCCGTGCGGATGCGACTTACCGGGGGGGGACTGTCGAGCTTGCTGACGGTCACCAAACTCCGGCCCAGCAAGTGCAGGGAGGTGCTCGAACTATTAACTCGGTCCCAGAGGTTAAACGGGAACCTCGGCACCAGAGGTTAAACGGTAACTCTGTCCCAGAGTTTAAATGGGAGAAAAATGGCCACCAGAGCTGCCTCCCTGTTAGGGTTTTTGCTATTTTTTGTGACGTGTCACGCTGCATGAGATGTAACGCAATGTCACGCAATATGTTTATTTTTTACCCGGGGGACTCACATATGAAAAGGACGGGGATGCTCGTCAGAAATTTTGAAAAACCTTTAAAGGATACCTACCTGGGCGTGGGCCAACTTTTTTAAGAGACCATTTTGTTACAATGTGCTCTTGTTGAAAGTTGAAGTTAGTTATTGATGTTATAGAAAAGTTTGATTACATGAATTGAGTAAATAAAACAAACTGACTATTTAATACCTGTATATATCTTTCCGTGCAACCCTAAAAGACACCTTAACGGCTTAATATAATGGCGTATTGCTTAGAACACCCGAAGTGAGATTTACACCCCTAAGCGAGACGACGAGCATCCCCGCCCCTTTCATATGGGAGTTCTCCCCGGGTACAAGCAACACAATATTTATTTTGTAACGTCAGGAGCTCCTGGTAACGTCAAACGATTCTCGGCTTATCCTGTCGCTCGGCTTGATAAAGATCAGCTGTAACATACACGTCCGTCCGTAACATGACTAATCTTTTGCTCTGAAATTCCTTTCGTGACCCTTGCAAACTTTCGTGAAACAATGTTTTTAATTACTACTAGGAAATTTAGCGTGTTCTTTAAAGTTTGAGGCCTTGAGATAATCTCTCGTAAGTCTCTCTTGTTTCTCCCTCGATGGAACATGATACGCGTGAACGTTTTCTGTTGCCTAGCACGTGACTGCAACTACTGTGATGTGATGAAAACTTACGCGATGTTAATTTCAAAAGCGGATTGCATTGCACGAGACAAAATATTGTTTTCAAAGTTCCTGGACGTTTCTGAAGTGTTCGAAACTGTTATGTAGGAAATCACGTCTCATAAAAAACAAAGGGTGAAATATCAAAGGGAGATGCTATCGCATATCGCGAAAACAGCAATTCTAGTCAAGAGGTCAAATTACAAAGTAAAGTTACCAGCGAAAAAAAGACACCCTCAGACTGTAGACACCGATAATCAACTGCGATAATGCCGATAGCCATTCACAAACAGGCAATCGAATAAATATCGGCGAGTAAAATTCGAAAGCAACGAGAAGCGCCATGAGACTTTGTTTACACACCGTCGCGTATTTAACATTTATTTACACAAGCTTCCTTTACATGTATTTTGGATTTTACAGATAACAAGACGAATAAAGTCGTTCCCGTGGGATGCATTGGTCTATGGAAGCATAATGACGTTCTATCTGAATTTGGCAAAATAAAGGAAATTGAAAAGATAAAGTTAATAAAGTTCCAATGTTTTAATCCAAGATGAAAGTTTAATATTTCAAGAAGCTCTTGATCCGGTTAAAAGTTAATTGCAATGTGTTTCCAAGGTCTCAAAGTTAAAAAAGTTCCAACGGTTATCCATGATTCCGAGATATAATAAGTTCACTAAGGTCCGGATCCGTGTCCCATCCTAAAGTCCAATTCATGTGGAAAGCGAGTCGTCGAGCGACGAGGACAATATTTTCGCGATTTCACCGCCAATCGTCAAGGGTATGAGTTGAAATTTACGCGATTTAACCTCCCACCGTCAAGGTGTTTTCGATAAGAAAAGAAAAAACTGAACTCTAGCTCTGCTCGGCAAAAACTGACGAACTCCGACCAAAAAAAACTATGCGAAATCCCGTCCCTACAACCAGACGCTACTAAAACCTTAAGAAAAAGCTAGACCTAACCTAAAAAGAATCATGATGGGAAAAACCCAAAATAAAAAGAAATAATTTGGCCTAGGTCTGCTAGGTTGCTTCCTGTGACTTGCCATTATCCCGAAGGATTTCGCTGGTTCACAAGGCGTCGTAAGCTTCGAGTGGGAAACTGACAAGGGACAAATTTGGCACGTTCCGAAACGTTCGAAGGAAGCAAAATGATTGAAAATCGATAAAGATTTTGAACAAACCCATTGGTCAGCTTGGAAGAAATAATCGATAGAGATTGTCCGCAATCCTATTGGCGAGCTTTGAAATTGCTCGTTTTTACGTGGTGTGCCACAGGCATCCCACGGAAAATTACTGACAACTTCTGCCATTTAGCCATTTAAATGATGCAAAATGCTGTTCGAACATTTTTAAGAATTCGACGCAAAGTGTCACCCTTGCCGTGTGAGCGAATGCAAATGTACACTGCTACTGTATAATCTGCATAGTTCAGGAATTTCTCGCAAGAATCAAACGCTGAGTAGAGTTTGTTATTTTATAGATTAGAGAGATTTTTTTGACGTGAGCGAAGTTAGAAGATTGAGATTTTTACATACAAATATACGTAGCTTAAAGAAAAATTTTGAAGAATTTCAACATCATGTTTTAAGTGAAATGAATTTCCGTTTTACTATTATTGGTGTTACAGAAACTCGTATATGCGATCGTGAATGTAGTTTTAATTTTGTACCAGAATTACCAGGATACTGTTTTGAATCGGTCCCAACACCTTTATCTGCCGGTGGTGTTGGCCTGTTCATTGATCAAAATTGTAAATACCGCGTCCTTGAACGAGTCTCCAATTCTTGCTATCAAGCCCTATGGATTGAACTTCATCTGCCTAACAATACGAAATCTGTATGTGGTGTTACTTATAGGCAACACAATAACGCTAATGAGTTTCTAGAATACTTGACAGATTTTCTTGAACGCCAATGCCGTCAAAATCAAAATATTTATCTCATGGGAGACTTCAACATAGATCTGTTAAAATATGAAACTTGTAGTTACACACAAACCTTGCTCCAAACAATGCAAAGTTTTTCAATGTTCCCAGTGGTTGATAAGCCGACTAGAGTCTATGGTAATTCAGCAACTTTAATTGACAATATTTTCATAAATAATCCTGAGAATAATATAGTCAGCGGCAATATCGTGTCCGATACAACAGATCACTTCTCTCAGATGTGCATATTATCGTCGCACTGTAAACCATTCTTTCCAAACAACAAAACTAAGGTTCGTGACTATTCTACCTTCAATGCAAAGTCTTTCATTGACGACTTGCAGAATATTAATTGGAATAATATTTGCAAACATATCGATGCCAATCAATCGTTTTCCAGGTTTTACAAATGCGTCAACAAGACAATTAACAAACACGCTCCTTTAAGAAGTATATCCAATCGTAAACAAAAATTCCTTGCTAAACCATGGCTGACGGCGGGTTTAAGAAAATCAATCAGGGTAAAGAATAACCTCTTCTATACCTCAGACCGTGACAAATACAAATTTTACAGAAATAAAATCATTTATCTTACGAGATTAAGTAAAGCGAACTACTACCAAAGTTTCTTTGATCTCAACATATGTAATATGCGTCAAACTTGGAAAGGAATTAACGAGCTAATTGGAAACTGTAAAAAGAAAAACAAGCGCAACTCAACTAACTCTATTCGCTCAAACCCGAATGAGGTTCCAACTAGTGACCCGAAGGAAATAAGCAATATTCTTAACAAATATTTCGCCACTGTTGGGAGCAAACTGGCTTCTAAAATTCCTCAGACCATAAATACATTCTATGATTATTTAGATCCGCCACTTAATCGCACTTTCTTCTTTGATCCTATTATTCCGGAAGATATCAATTTAGAAATTTCAGTTTTGCAAGACAACAAGGCCCATGGTCTCTACTCATCTCCAGTTAGGCTGCTGAAATTAGCAAAAGGGTCATATCCGTACCTCTAGCTACGATTTTTAATCAGTCTATTTGCTCAGGATTTTTCCATCTAAACTAAAGTGTGCTAAGATTATCCCGATATTTAAGGACGAAGATGACACGCTGCCCGAAAACTACCGACCTATTTCTCTGCTCTCGATTTATAACAGGATTTTGAAAAACTTATGTACTCCAGAGTTACCAAGTTTGTCAAAGATTGCAACATTCTCTATGATCAGCAATACGGTTTTCGCAGTAAGCACAGTACTCAGCATGCTGTACTTGATATTGTTAACACAATTCTCCAAAACATGGACAACGGTAAATTTTCGTGCGGTGTTTTCATCGATCTCAAAAAGGCTTTTGATACTGTTAACCATGAAATTTTGTTAGCTAAACTTGAAAATTATGGTATTAGAGGTGTAATAAACTCCTGGTTCAGATCATACCTGACTGATCGGAAGCAAACTACGGAAGTTAATAATGTTGTGTCTGAGGCTGAAACGACCTTGTGCGGCGTGCCACAAGGCTCAGTCCTCGGACCACTCTTATTCCTACTGTACATCAATGATATTTACAAGTCCTCTTCGTTATTTGCCTTTTATCTATTTGCTGACGATACTAGTATAATACTTGCAAATAACAACCTAAAGGAACTCGAAACACTTGTTAATCGCGAGCTTGGCAACGTCAACGAATGGCTAAAGGCCAACAAACTGTCCTTGAACATAAAAAAATCAAATTTTGTAATCTTTCGTCCCCGGCAAAAGAATATGCCCTTCATACCTAGGATTAGAATTTTTGACTCCGTGACTAACACCTACGCAAACCTTGAAATGAAAGATTATGTAAAATACCTTGGCTTAATGATTGATTCAAATCTTTCATGGAAATACCACATCGAATCTGTCTGTCACAAAATCAGCAAGTCGATAGGAATTATAGCTAAAATTCGACATTATGTCCCGCGTCGTGTTTTACTTTCAGTTTACAACTCATTAATTGTCCCTTACTTGACTTATGGTATTTGTGGTTGGGGAAATTGTGCCTTGACATTTCAACGAAAGATCGTAACTCTACAAAAACGGGCCTTACGTCTCATTTACTTCAGTAAGTCTAAGGAACACGCCGTACCCTTCTTTCTCAAATCAAATTGCCTTCCCCTGCCTAGCATATTTTTCAGAGATTGTAGCTATTTATTGTATGATATCAACAGACAGACAGCACCAGTTAGTATTCTCAATCAGTTCGTTAAAACAAGTCCGATTCATAACTACAGAACAAGATCTGTCTCTAGCGACTCGTTTTATGTTAAGTTCTCTAGAACCGATAAAATGTATGCCTTTTTCACGAGAATCGGTGCCCAAATTTGGAACTCTATTCCGTATTCGATTAAAATACTTAAACGTTCGTCCTTTCGTAAAAAAATAAAGGAATTATTACTAAATTTTTTGCGGTCAGAAGATGATTATGTCGAAGTCTCCCGTCTTATTAAGTTATTTAATACTTTAGTTAACCTCTCTTCGTAATCGTTATGTACATGCCTTGTTTTTTGTTTTATGTTAGTTTAAACTCTATTTACTGTATTGTAGTGTCTTCACTGTTATTTAGTCCATCTATATATAATTCTTGTTTTGTAATATGTCTTCAGCTCCCCCCGCCTCGATTAGTTCATAAGCTATTTGCGGGTGGGAAAGTAATGTAATTAGTTATTTTCCAATTTTCAATAAAATTTGTTGTTTTGTTGTTGTTGTTGAAGATTGCACAAAACTTGAACAAAGATTGTAGATTCTCGCAGCAATTGAGTAATCGAGAGTAGAGAGCAAATTACTCGAAACAAAAACCCTTTATAATCGTTTGCAAACAAAGGCCTTTCCAGTTTGATAAGTCTGGCAGGAATCGGGAATAGAGACGCAACAATCGAGAATCGAGTGTCAACTTACTTTTGAACGGTACTATATAATAAATTAAAAACACACACCCCTTGACTGTACTAGCAAACGGCACTCCTGCCTTGATAACAGTCCCCTCCCCTCCCTACTCAGTCAGTCACTCAGTCAGTTGATCAGTCAGTCAGTTAGTCAGTCTGTCAGTCAGGAGTAGCCAGTTAGCCAGTCACTGGCTTTTTCAGCTCAGTCAGCCAGTGGTTTATTGCTTGAAGTTAGTCAGACACTTGGTATGGTGTTCAATCAGTCAGTCTTTCTGTCAGTTATTCAGTCAGCCATTCCGTCAGCCAGTCAGTTCAACAGTTAAGCAATCAGCTAGTAACTCAGTTATTAAGGCATTCAGTAAGTTAGACAGTTAGCCAGTAACTAATTTGCTGAGCTAGTCAGTCAGTCAGTTAGACAGTTAGCCAGTTACTGAGTTGCTCAGTTATTTAGTCAGCTGATTAGTTAGTAAGTAAATTAGTCAGCTTTTCAGTCAGTCACTCAGTTGTTCAGTTTGTATGTCAGACAGTAGGCTCGATTTCCGCCGTCTCCCGGGTCCGGTCTTTAATCCTCCCCGAAAAGAGACGGCTGGACGCGTGACCCGTTGACGTTGTCTGTACACAGGCGGCCCAAACTCACGTTGCGAGGGAAGGGTGTAATCTAATTTACATACCATAACTGACGCGCCGGTGTCGCGTTACAGGCGACCGTTGAAAGTATAAGAGACTTTGTATGAGAAATATATTACTGAGATCTGCGAACGCTAAATAACGCTAAACCTCACTTTTTCTTAAATGAAATGAATACAAAAGACTTACGTGCAATGTATTCCACTGTATTTTGGTATCTGTTTGTCGTTTTACTGGTGTTTTTGGTTGACTAATGCATGAAGTCCAATCTGTTGAAATGGTCAATATTCTTCGGTTTTTGTTTTTGTTTTTTGTTTTTTTGTTCACTGTCAAACTAAATGAATTTGCCTAATTGTTGAGCGGGGGTTGTGGAACAACAGCTGGGTGAAAAACCTCCCCGTACGTCCACTTGCTCCTAGGAGGAAAACCCCGGGCCAGCTGTACCCCGCATTCAATGACCTCCTGGGCGGGGTCAGAAATATTCTAAAACCAAGCACCTGTGTTGACGCTGGGTACTGGCTGTAACAGTAAGTAATAAATTATATGATTATGTAAATACTAACCTGGCTATTAATAATGAGTTGACTTTGATGATACCATCCTCTTCACTGTTGGCTTTTAAACTTCTGTATGGAGGCATTGATGAATCACTGACCAGTTTGCCAAGTCTGCTGTTCTTTTCAGCCTGAGAGGAAAAAATAAGAATTCATTTTCACTCAGTTGTAAACTTCTTTTTGACTCGTTCCTGATTTTTAACTTGTTGGTATTTATAGGAACAGAGTTCTGCAATGGATGTGCAAATAGCTTAATGTCTAAAACTGAGTCACAAAATTATATAAATGACTTCATAGGAAGGGTGTAGCTACCTCAACACAAGTTGCACTTGTACATCCCTAAAAAGGCCACAAGACTGAGTGCAATGATTACGATGACTTATGAGGTAACTAGAGTGACTTGAATGACTGGAGTATAACTGGGATGACTAAGATGAATGGAGTAACTGGGATGAATGAGATGACTAAGACGACTGAGGTGACTGGGATCACTAGAGATACCTGGATGAGTGGTACCTCAGGGGTGACTAGGTTGATTAGGATGATTAGGATGACTAGGATTACTAGGATAGTTGGGATGACTGGAATGGCTCACTTCAGAAAGGAGTGATAGACTGGGATCCAAACTAGGCATACACATAATTATGGGATTATTTGGGGGGATGCGAATGTAAACAAACATGGCAGAACAAACATGGTAGAAAGCGAGGTGGAATGTTTCATTGGGGTTAAAACAGCTCAAAATAGCAAAAAGGAAGATAGAATTGAAAGAAAAAACATAAAAATGTGGAGCTGAAGGAAGAAGATGTGGCTGGGGCGATTTTACTCCGAGAAAAACAAGAAGAATGCACCACTTGCTATCGGAGTTCAACTTCAAATTAGCGTTCCGCAGCACAGGTACACATTCTTTCTGCATACGTCTTCAAGATTCAAGACTTCAAGATTTTATTATAAATTTTCTAAAGAATATTCTTACAAGTGTCCTGGCACCGCAAATAGTTGTAGCTAGTCTAGGTAGGACAAGAATGATACGAAAAGGAAATAACTGAGTAAAATCTTGCCTTTGGAATTCCATAAAATGCCAGACCGGGGGAGTTCCTGAAGTTATTTGTGCACAAAGGCACACATCAACTTGCATGTCTCATCATAAGTGACTGCTTGACTTGTCCCCCCAAACAATCCCATAAATGCGCGCGCATGCTTAGTTTGGGTCCAAGGCTATCACTCTTTTCAAAAGTGAGCTGTACCTAGGAAGACTAGGATTACTAAGATGACTGGGAGGACTGGGTTGACTGGTATCACTGGGATCACTAGGATGACTAGGATAAATGGAATGAGTCGCATAATAGGATGATTTGGGTGACTAGGGTTACTGGGATAACTAAGGTAACAAGGATGACTGGGATGACCAGAATGACTATGATGAGAGAATGACTGGGATGACAGGGGTCTCTAAGATGAATGAAATAACATGGGTGACTGGGGTGACTGGGATGACTAGGATTATTTGGATGACTGGAATGATTTACGTGATTAGGATGAACAGGATGACTATTAATGAAATGACTTGCATGGCTGGGATGTCTAGGATAGCTGGGGTGACTGGAATGAGTGGGATACTAGGATGAATTGGATGTCTAGGGTTACTGGGATAACTCACATAACCAAAATGACTGGGATGATTATGACTAGAAGAATTAGGACAAGAGGATGACTGGGATGACAGGGATGACAGGGATAGCAAGAATAACGAGGATAACAAGGTTGCAGGGTTTGTACCCTTTTTTAACAAAACATTGAAAGATTTTTCAAGGACTTTTAAGGACAAATATCTCATTCTTCAAGGATTCCAATCAGAAACTTGAGTTAACTTTTTTTTAGTTCTTCGACAACATGACTGCAATTTTAATCTTCATCCTGAAGGTCTTTCTGTGTTTGCTCCTTTTAGGCACTTGAGAATCAGGGTTGGATAAATTAGCACTAGAATTCCAGCACTGACTACAATTTTAAGGACTTTTAGGTGCATGCCAACCCTGAGGTTAAGGAGGGTGACTGTAATTATTTGGATGACTGGAGTAACTGGAGTGACTGAGATGGTTGGGATAACTGGGATGACTGGGAAGAGTAGGATTACTGGGATGACTAGGATGACTGGTTTGACTGGGATAACTGGGATAGGAAGGATGACGAAGTGACTTGGATGATTAGGATAACTTAGCTAGGTGACTGGAATGACTGTGATAACATGGATGACTAGGATGATGAGATAACGGAGATGATAAGGGTGTCTGGGATGACTAGGATGACTATGATGACTGGCCATGGATCACTGGGGTGACTAAGATGACTAGGATGAATAGAGTGAATGGGATACAAGGATCACTTGGATGAATAGAGTGACTGGGATAACTGAGATAACCAGGATGACTAGAATAACTATGATGAGACGATGACTGGGATGACAAGGTGACTGATATGACTGGGATGAATAGGTTGACTAGGATGACTGGTCATGGATCACTGGGTGACTATGATGACTAGGATGAATGGAATGAATGGAATACTAGGATGACTTGGATGAATATAGTGACTGGGATAACCGAGATAACCAGGATGACTGGGATGACTAGAAGAACTATGATGAGAGGATGACTGGGATGACAAGGGTGTCTGATATGACTGGGATGAATAGGTTGTCTAGGATGGCTGCAAGACTGAAACGATTCAGATGCCTGGAATGACTGGGTATGACTAGAATAGCTAGGATGACAAGGATAAAGGGAATAACTAGGATGACTGGCATCCCTGGGGTGATTAAGATGACTGGGATGAAGGGAATGAGTGGGACACTAAGATGACTTGGGTGTCTAGGGTCTCCAGGATGACTGGAATAACATGAGTGACTGGGATGACTGGGATGATTTGGATGACTGGAATGACTTGCATGATTAAGATGAATAGGATGACTATTAATGAGATGACTTGGATGGCTGGGATGACTGTGATGACTAGGATGACTGGCATGATTAGGACAACTGGCTGACTTGGATGAATAGGATGACTTGGTTTACTGTGATGGGTAAGGAATGAAAGGGATGATTGAGATGAAAAGGAAGATTTGAATTACTGGGTTGACAAAGATGAATGGGATAACAGGGATGCCTAGAATGACAGACATGACTAGGATGACTAGGGTGACTGGTATGACTGGGTTGAGTAGGGGACTACGATGATTGAGTTGAATAGGATAACTGAGATGACTGGCAACTACAATGACTTCAGAGATTGGGATGACTAGGGTAACAGACATGACAGTGGTAACTTCTTTGACTAAGACGACTAGGATGGGTGGGATAACTAGAATGACTAAAATGACAGGGGTACCCAGGATGACTGGGATGAATGGGTTGACTGCATTAACTAGGATGACAGGGATGACAGGTTAGACTAGACTGAGTAGGATAACTGGGATGACTAGGGTAACTAGGATGACAGGAGTGACTAGGGTGACTTGAATGACTAAAATGATTGGGACTATTGGGTTAACTAAATGAGTGGGATGGATAGATCACATTTAATGAAGGAGCCTGAAAACATAATTCTTTTTAAGGGGGAAAGTGTGGGATTTGGAAAACCGAACTCTGGAAAAATCCTAAACAAAATGTGGTAGTCTTATATTACAAAAAATGATAAAACTGATACCTGAAATGCCTGAATACAATGGGGACCACAATCCTTCTTCTTCTTGAGATGTCATCCCTTTAACTGAAGACATGTTTTTGATATCCAAAACTTGTGATGGGCAGAGAATCTTCCAGAACATCACCAAATGTGAGGGGTTCTGTTAAATGGCAAAAGGAAAGGAATAGAAAAGAAGAATTAGTCTCCCTACAGCACCTATATATTGATGTCCACTTTTCTGCAAAAACGTTTCCTACCAGAATAAATTAATGAAGTCTCGCTTCTTTTCAATGTTCATTGAAGATTTTAGCAAAAGATTTGCCTACAATATTAGCTTTCTACATTCTGTAATTTTTAATTTTGTGATCTGACAACAGCATTACGTTGACTCGTGAAGACTATCACAAGAAACATTAATTTTTTAAGTAAATAAAATAAGCGATTTCTAATAAAAATGACTGTAGAACAACAGCTGGGTGATTATAACCACCCTAAACGTCCACTTCCTCATCAGCTTAACCAAACACTCAGGGCGCTTTCAAAAAGTTAGAACTTGCTTGCTGGACCATGGCTGGACTGGTCATTTTGACAATTAAATAGGATTTTTAAAAGAGTTTTTGCTGAAAGATCATCTCTTTCTTGCCTTGCAGACATCCTGTAGATGTCACTGAATAGTTTGATTCAAAGTAAAATTCTCCTTGTGACAGGAATGGTCTGGCCAGTCAGTTCTGACTTAATAGAAAGTGCTCTCAGTGATCTCCCAGGCTGGGTGATAGGTGAAGTGTAAAAAAAAGTCTCTGTAATGAAGTAGCATAACTATTAGTAATAAATTGTTCCTGACAGAATACATACCAAACCAGTTGTAGTTCCTAGACTATGACGCTGTTGTCCTCTAAATCCAGACTCTCCAAAGAATGCAGTCCATTTCTATAAACCTCTGGCCGGTTTGCCTCATTTGTTTCTGCCTGAGAAAAATAAATAAAAACATTTTTGTCAGGATATTAACTGATTAAGATGTGATTGTCACTTCTTACTACAAACCTTAACACTCCTTTATATCACTATGAAAATCCTATGTACATGAATAAAGCATAATAACATTTCCTAGATAGAGAAGATCAAACATTGAGATTAAACAAGTGGAAACACATCGACAATAAATATTTGACAAGCTTGAAACATGCTGTTTTGAAGTTAAGGCTGGGACTATGTGAAAAAAGGGGATAATAAGCCAATTAAAAAAAAACAATGATTACAACGGTCAATCAAGTGTCATCAGTATGATTTGATAACAAATTATTGCATAAATCATTACATAATGAGACAAATTTTAACAAAAGTGAATTTAGATAAAAATTCTGTGAATTCATCAGATTAATAATATTAATTCTGTGCAAGATAGCTGATTAAAATGACAAAATTTTGTTGGATTTGATCGAAGAATTTTTCCCCTAAGGTTGAACACTTGGAGAGTGCAAGAAAAAATGAAATTCGTCTTCATTTATACCAGAGCTAAAAACAGGGCAGAATCTATTGTTGTGGGGAGTTTGATCATATCTTCCAGTCTCAATCATGAGTTTGTGGTTGTCTGTATGAAGTTTCACTAAGTCTTTCCTATTGGTTGAATTTCTAGTTAAGTCTAGATAAACTGAAATTTTATAATCATGTTTAAATATGCTGTAAAATTGTAGTTTCTTAGAATGATGGATTGTATGTTGCCATTATGTAATATATATTTGTTTTAATATATCTATATAGAGTTTGATCTTAGCTTCACTTAAATTAAATTAAATTTAGGGTGATAAGGAATGCTAGGATTACTAGGATGACTGAGATGAATAAGATGACTGGGATGACTGGAGTGACTAGGATGACTGGGGATAACTGGGATGACTTAAATGACTGAGATGACCGAGATGAATAAGAAGACTGGAATGACTGGCATGATTAGCATGACTAGCCTGACTAGGGTAACTGGAATGACTTAGATGACTGGAATGACTAGGATGACTAGCGTGAATGACTAGTAAAACAAGGATGATAGGGATGACTAGGATGACTGGGATGACTGGCTGGGATGACTGGGATGGCTTGGATTACCATGGATGACTGGGATGACTACAATGAATAAAATGACTGATATGCAACAAGGGTGACTGGGGTGACTGGGGTTACTAGGATGACTCATATAGCTAGGATTACTGAGATGACTAGTAAGCCATCATGATCAACTGAGACCCGAAAATTTGGGTTTATGGGCTCACTTGAGGGGAACTGCCAAAACTTGTCTAATCTTAATCTCTGACTATTAAGCATCACAAAAATGCATGATAGCAAGGATAAAACAGTAGTTCACCATCTCCTTTTTGCCGCCATCTTGGATTTTGGGGAAGGCTACAAAAGTTAGTCATATTCTTTTGAGGTAGACAAATATGCATTTTAACATAATTTTAAAACATATTGGAAGTAAGAACATGTTTATTCTAGTGCTTAAATTATAATTAGCTGATCAACATAGCCTGTCATTGTGGTCATGCAATAAAAGCAGCAATTTTTAAAGGATTGGCCAAAACCAACCTCAAAAACATGGACAGAACTATGCAAAAATTGCAGCATATTGGATATATAATAGATCTACAGCCCCAAAATACATAAAGTGCAAACATTAACACAAAGGACTACAAAGGACCGCAAACAAATATGCCGAAGAACATAGGATCTATCTGATCAGCAAAAATAACAAGTAGACAATTCAAATTCTTTGCTAGACATCAACTTGACACTTGGACTCTTGCCCTCCAGGAGACACATGATATGGCACTATTCTGAAAGTTGGGAGTTCTGGGTTAGGGCTTAAATCAGAGTGCGCGCATATTTTTCAACAGAGCTTTCTCTGGATGTTACACCATACTGATGAGCTACAATAATAGCAAAACAGATGTCTAAGGCTACAATCCTGCTCTGTTAGATGACTAGGGGATGACTAGGCTGACTGGGATGACTGGTATGACTAGGATGACTGGGATAACTAGGATGACTAGATTAACTGGGATGACTGGTATGACTCGGATGAATAGGATGACTAGGATGACTGGGATGACTAGGATGACTAGGATGAACAGGATGCCAGGATTACTAGGATGACTGCAATTACTGGTATGACTAGGGTGACTAAGGTGAATGGGATGACTGGGATAGCTAGGATAACTAGAATGACAGGAACGATTGGGATGACTAGGAAGACCAGGATGACTGAGATGACTGGGATGACCAGGATGACTTGGATGAAAAGGATGACAAGGATCACTGTAAATTTTCTTATAATTTTCAAGGAGTACGATCAGCACTGCAGTATTCTTCTTGTAGAATTTAAAATGACTATCTGACTATGGGTTGACTGGGATGACTGCAATGACTAGGATGAGTGGGATGGCTAGGCTGACTGGGTTGACTGGGATGACTAGGATGACTAGGATGACTGGAATGACAAGGCTGCAAGGATGACTGGGATGACTAGGATGACTAGGGTAACTAGGGTGAATGGGATGACTAGGAAGACTGGATGACTGGGATGACTGGTATTACTGGGATGACTAGGATGACTAGGGTTACTAGGGTGAATGGGATGACTAGGATGACTGGGTTGAATAGGATGACTGGGATGACTAGGGTCAGACTGGGATGACTAGGCTTATTGGCACGACCAGGATCACTGCAATGACTAGGATGACTGGGATGACAAGGATGACTAGGGTGAATGGCATGACTGGGATGACTAGGGTGACTGGGATGACTGGGATAACTAGGGTGACTGGGATGACAAGGATAACTAGGGTGAATGGGATGACTGGGATAACTAGGGTAACTAGAATGACTGGTATGACTTGGATGACAAAAAAGAAAAGGTCACTAGGATGACTAGGATGACTAGGATGACTAGGCTTACTGGCATTACCAGGATGACTGCGATGACTGGGATGACTTGGATGACAAGGAAGACTAGGGTTACTAGGATGACTGGGATGACTGGGATGACAAGGATGACTGAGATGACTGGGATGACTACGATGACTGGGATGACTGAGACGACTGGGATCACAAGGGTGACTGACATGACTGTGACGACAATGTTTACTGGGAAAACTGGGATGAATAGGGTTGCTACGATGATGAGGATGACTTAGATGACTGGGATAACTAGGATGAATAGGATGGCTATGATGACTAGGATAATTTCCAACAACAACAACAACAACACCAAATGCTTTATTTGCATGACCATAAAGGAATTACAGTATTGCAAAAGCTATTAGTCTAAATTTAAGTACTAATTCAACTAATTAGTATGTGCAAAACATTACAAAACATTACAGTTCTCATTCATTCATTCATCGATATTAATTTGGTTCTTAATTCAAAGCATTGCGAGATAAATGAAACTAATTGACAGTTAATTAAATAATCAGAAGAATTCATAAGAAGAGATATTAAAGTATCATGTGAAAGTGATTTGAAGTCAGGTATTTTAGTTTCTAGTTTGGAGAAAAATATGTCTCTGATCTGAGAATAAGCCTTACAATCTAGTAAGAAATGATTTTCATCTTTGATTGTGTTACTTGTACAAAAGTGACATATCCTTTCATTGCGAGGAATGTTTTCGTATCTACCTGTTTCAATTCTAAGTTGATTACTACTTATTCTAAATCTAACTAATGCTTTTCTCGAAGGGTCTTTTCTTGTTAAAACTAGGTACAGCGAGGGGCTATAGTCGTCTTTGATTGTACAATAAAAACTGAGTTTTTGTGATTGTTGAAGGGTCTGACTCCAGTTAAAGACGTATTTATTTTTCATTATGCCAATATACCTATTAACTATTGAGTCACTCAATGAATTACAGGAAAAGTCGTAGTTTAGATCATAGTAGTCAACCATTTTCATGAGATTAGAGTAAAAGCTAGTTTTTCTGTTATGATGAAGGTCAACTGAAATTGGTAAGGCCTGTTTAACTATAGAATCTTCATCTTTACCTCTCAGATAGTCTAAGTAATTTAGAATCTTTTTATTTATATCAATGATCATGGGAAATTTACCGAGTTCAGCTCTACAAGCAATGTTGGATGACTAGGATAATTTAGATGAATGGAATTGTTAGGGTTACTGAGACAGGGTAACTGCAATGAGGAAGGTGACTAGGATAACTAGAATTGCTTGGATGACCAGGATTACTTGGATGATTAGGATGATTGGGATGACTTAAATGACTGGGATGACTCGGGTGACTAGGATGAATGGGATGACAGAGATAACTGAGATGACTGAGATGACTGGGATGACTAGGATACACCTGTATAATTTTTCTTAAATGTGTTTATAGTACTTAGGACAAATGACTGACTTATGGGTTACCTACAGCTTTTCAAATTTTCCAAGTCAACCAGACTTTTATACATTTAAAATATCTAGAACTTACCAATAATATAATAATCTAGATCTAGAGAATATTAACATGAACCACCGATAAAGACAACCTTAATACTTACAGTCATTTTGGTCCTGTGTTATGTTTTCCTTGAGTTTTCTCATATTTTCCTGGATGTGTTTTTCCTTTTTAAATGGTCACTGTATGAAATGGACATCTTATCCATCTTGAACTACAGCATACAAAGATGGCCGTAAAATAAACATCAAAATAAATTAATGAAAGTAAAATACTTGAAGAGCCTCATTATCAGTTTTCTGGTGAACATTCAGCTATGAAACAGGGTTCTAGTAGCAGGAGAAAGGTGTAATGTTACAGGAGAATATTTTGAAAGAGGCTCTACGTCTAAATAAAAAAATATATAGTCATAGGTTACCAAACATTAGACGGAGAATTCTGCAAAGTTAACAGAGAATTCCCCAAACTCTGATGCTTACTGAACACCCTGTTCAAAACCAATCAACATCAAAATAATGGTGGTTGAAGGGTCATGCACTGCATAATAAACCAGCTGGAAAGCTGGTGATGAAAATTCGTATGTTTAGGGTAGAGATGTAGTGGTCATCAATTCAGTTCAAACCCAGTTAAGTCCTGTTTAAACTTCGTCTGCCTGACTATAATTACTGTTCTTTCCATTGTTTTGATAAACACTTTGCTTGTTTTAAGAAAAGGCCAACAACAGAAGCATTGGGAGAATAACATCTCTGATTCGACAGAGTTGAAGTTTTAGGATGCCCTAAGAGAATCTAAAAACCAAATCAAATGAAGGGAAAGGGTTGCTAGGTCCATGGCCTCCTAACAGTCACCATGACAAAGGGATAGGTGAAAGGTGTAACTATTAGCATGTAATGATAACGGAAAAATAATAATAAATAATGTTCATCATTGTCTGAGCAACATTTTCATACAAGGGTTTGGACCATCAAAGCATCTATAAAACCAATTGAGTACAACGCCAAAAAATATTTGCAAGGTTCAGAAAGCAAAAATATTATTGAAAGATATATTAATTAGAAAAGAAAAAATTTCAGTGCAGCATGAAAAAAATTATAACATCTGTTAAACATTAATCTTATGAAGGCAGAGATCAACAAATTTCTAATCCAGCAGTATGGTTGCAGCTCAAAATTGAATAAAAAACAATCAAAATTGAGCATTCCAAGCTTTACAAGATTCTTTCAAAAGAAAAGGGCAAAAAAAATACACACATTGGCCTAGCTGGGAAACACATATCACTAGTCATATGTGTTCTCCTACCAGGGAAACACATATACCTGGTGGAAACACTATCCTTTCTGATACGTGTTTCCCTACACTGGAAACACATATCCCTAGTAATAGGTGTTCCCCTACACCGGAAACACATATCCCTAGTGATATGTGTTCCCCTAGGCTACAAGGGAAACACATATCCCTAGTGATAAGTGTTGCCCTACACCGGAAACACATATCCCTGGTGACATGTGTTCCCCTACCCTGGAAACACATATCCCTAGTGATAAGTGTTCCCCTACACTGAAAACACATATCCCTAGTGATATGTGTTCCCCCACCTGGGAAACACATATCCTTAGTGATATGTGTTCCCCCAACTGGGAAACACATATCCCTAGTGATATGTGTTCCCCACCTGGGAAACACATATCCCTAGTGATATGTGCTCCCCCACCTGGGAAACACATATCCCTAGTGATATCTGTTCCCCCACCTGGGAAACACATACCCCTAGCGATATGTGTTCCCCCAGCTGGGAAACACATATCCCTAGTGATATGTGATCCCTAACCTCGGAAACACATATCCCTAGTGATATGTGCTCCCCCACCTGGGAAACACATATCCCTAGTGATATGGGTTCCCCCACCTGGGAAACACATATCCCTAGTGATATGTGTTCCCCCACCTGGGAAACACATATCCCTAGTGATATGTGCTCCCCCACCTGGGAAACACATATGCCTAGTGATATGTGTTCCCCCACCTGGGAAACACATATCCCTAATGATATGTGTTCCCCACCTGGGAAACACATATCCCTAATGATATGTGTTCCCCCCCCCACCTGGGAAACACATATCCCTAGTGATATGTGTTCCCCCCCCCTGGGAAACACATATCCCTGGTGATATGTGCTCCCCCACCTGAGAAACACATATCCCTAGTGATATGTGTTCCCCCACCTGGGAAACACATATCCCTAGTGATATGTGTTCCCCCACCTGGGAAACACATATCCCTAGTGATATGTGTTCCCCCACCTGGGAAACACATATCCCTAGTGATATGTGCTCCCCCACCTGGGAAACACATATCCCTAGTGATATGTGTTGCCCAACCTGTGAAGCACATATCACTAGTCATATGTGTTCCCTACCCAGGAAACACATATCCCTAATGATATGTGTTCCTGTACCCTGGAAACACATATCCCTAGTGACATGTCTTTCCCTACCCAGCATACTTGTTTCCCAGATGGGGACACACATATCCATAGTTTGTAAAACAAGAAATGACCTACAATGAGCTACAATAAACTACAATGATCTACAATGAGCCACAATGAGCTACTATGAGCTAGAATGAGTTAAAATAAGCCCTACAATGAGCTACAAAAATGACAGACAAAGATGTTGGTCGTGTGTCATGCTTGGATGTGAGACTGAGCTCATACTTTCAGAGGAAAATTGCTAAGCACATTTTGAAAATGCAAAATAAAAATAGAGCCTGATCTCAGGTAACTTGAGAAACTTGCAGGAGCAAATCTGTAACTTGAACCATCAAAACCTTTTTGCTGAGCAAGTTCAAACTTTTCATTTCATTCATTTTCATTTTCATTCTCAGAAACTACGGATATGTGTTTCATTTTATTTCTTCAAAAACCAATGAAAACCTTGTTGCTGGGCAGATGTTTAATACCTTGAACCAATGAAAACTTTGCTGCTAAGCAAAAGTCAATCTTTTTCATTTAGCCAGCTTAGCTGGCGTTTTTTTTTTGTGTATTTTTCTGCCTAGAAAAGACACATCAAACAAACCGCAAGCTACACAGACTACTCTTTTTCGGGTGGAAAATGACTCAAATCTAAAGTTGATTGTTCTTAAGCAAATTTCTTAATTAGTTTTTAACATGGGAAAACCATACATTTTTCTGTGTTAAATTTATCTTTAAGCGTACTAAATGTTAGAGATGCTGTCATCATTGGGGCTGTCATTTAGTAGAGTAAAAGCATTACATTGCTCATTGTAGGTCATTGTAGGTCATTTTAGGTCATTGTAGCTCATTCCTTGTTTTAGTAACTACGAGCACATATTAGTGGTGGAATGTATTTTCTGGGTAGGGGAACACAATCACATCACTGATGATATGTGTTCACTTATCCGGGAAATACATACCACTAGTGATATGTCTTCCCATACACGGGAAACACATATCCTAGTGATATGTCTTCCCCTACGCGGGAAACACATATCCCTAGTGAAATGTCTTCCCTAAGCGGGAAACACATATGCCTCGTGATATGTGTTCCCCCTACCCAGGAACACATATCAATAGTTATATTGGTGTCCGTATTAAGCCGGTGTTCTTAAAGCGGGGTTTGACTGTATTAACATTTTTAATGCACCCTACTTATTGAGATATATCATATCGTATTACATAATTTGTGTTTAAAACTTGTACCATGAACCAAATTTGTGTTTAATAAAAATAATAATAATATATGTTTAAAAAAATATCTGGCATGTCATCGATTAATATTTGACCGAAGACTATCTGGGGAAAGTAATAATTTCTAAGAAAAGCAAAAAAAACTACGGAAACCTCATTTAAAAAATCTGGGGGGAATTGCTGATAAAAGAAATGGAATGACCCTTAGAGGCGGTTGGAGGGGTGGGAGGAATAAACAGTGGAATGTGTACATGTGTTATCAGGCATTTGTTAGAAAGAAAAGACAAAATAGATTTTAAACTATACCCTAGCATTACTCGTAAGAGTTATAAATGCACATCAAATTTAGAATCGTTAGGATTCTTAAAACGTATTGATTTTTCCAGAGTCACTTTGTACCGCACTATGCAGAACAAGTGATTAAGTTTGACACACTTTACGTATAAGGATATCGCGAAAATCGCATCACGATACGCTTTAGGGTAAGAGATTCATATTTTATATGAATTAGTTGCAATACATCTCTACATACCTTTGATATACAGCAGAAACATTGAGAAAAACAGCCATGCCTTGGAAAATACCTTCGCCCGCCATTTTGAATTTGTGGTTTGTACCCAGGTCCTTGTGGTTTCCTCTGCTCGCTCTGATTGTGCGAAGCTGTGGGAAACTGGAGTAAAGAAGGCTAAGGTCTTGATGGGGTATTCCAACCTTATTCCAAGCATTGCCTGTGGAGAAATCGCAGGGTTTTATAGTACCTCATGGACAATTTGTATTGATGCGCTTGGTGTGGTTTCAAACAACTCGGCTTCCCGGGCGGTTGTACTTCCTTGTAAATAGGAGCGCTCATTAAGAACAGCGCTAATGGGATGTACCACTGGATGGGGTCGCATTTTTACGGCTGGATTGAGTTGCATTTCCAATAGAATTACTAGAATAGGGTCGGATTTTAAGAGTAAGAAAATTCTGGTAAGTAGGAAAAGTGTCACGCCTTTATAAGGTGGATGCATAAACAGAAACTGACTAAGTTGGTATCGCGAAAATATATTACATTTGCCCCAAAGTGACTACGATGTCTAAGATGGTGCCTATAATTGGCCATACAAGAGAGGCAAGGGGTACATGCCCAGCAAAAAATTGACCGACCTAACTCCCGCCGGGCTCCGCTTTTGAAATCGTTTTCATCTGTTTCGGGGTTGGAAGTTTCTCAGTGCCATTAAGCCCGAGGGAGAATGGCATAATTTGACTTTTATTTTCAAATATAACAGCGTGTAACTCTTCAGCACCTCATTCACCTTTTCACTCATTACATCATCCATCACGTCTGAGTTAGCCTGTTGCAGGCTGAGATAGTCGGGTCCGCTGAATTGAGAAAGCGGAAAGCGCGAACACAAAAAATAAAACGGGAGAAAACTGGGGAGAGGACCATTTACCCCCCCCCCACCCCCCGACCGCCAATTTTTGCGTGCCTTGACCTTAGTGTCGTCTGAGTCAGCACGGTCCGCTCAATATGTGCTAATAATCAGAAAAAAGATCACCACTAAAAAGGAATAATGTATCGATCATATAATACATTATATAAAATCTAATTATTTATTAATTTATTAATTATTATTATTCCTAGAGGAAACTGACATGCAAAGCAAGTCACATGTTTACCATACAAAAGCAATTATATCCTTACTGCATTTGCATTATAGAAAGGATTTGCCACAATAGCTACTTTAACAGCTTGTGGCCCGTCAACAGTTTATTAACAGACTTCCAAGACAATCAAACACTTTCATTCAAATATTCCAAATTTTAAAGCAAAGTGGGAAGTTTGCCAGCGATGGAGTAAAAACACTGCCATGGATGTTGCCTGGAGTGGTTACTTTTGTTTCATCAAGAATAAAACAAAAACAGCGCTGATAAACATTGTGAGCTTTCGCCTTTTCATGTAAACCTGACGTTTCTTTTGCTAGAAAGCTCACAATGTTGATCACCGCTGTTTGTGTTTTAATTTGTTTCAGATTAAAGTACGATGGCCCAAGAACCAAAGTCTTTATCTCCGTTTCTCTGGCTCTTTTCTTGTATACATAACCGATGGAAATCTAAGACTGAAAAATGAAAATGGCCTGGTGTCCTTCTAAAAGTTGCCATACTAGTTGACATAAAACACTTTTACAAGGAGTCGTTTTCTAGAAAAAGACTTGAAAACTTCTGCGGAAGTTCTCTTTATCAGTTCTATATTGGATTATTTGGAGGGTCGCTAAGAAACTATTGGTTAAAGTGTAATCTCCCTTTCATAATTTTGCATGCCTTTCTCTTATTCAGTTACAACAGGTTTTGGAGAAAGGGGCATTACTGTTTATCAGGATGCAGTGCGTACTTATGAAGCTAGTGTAAGACTGAGAAACAAATTCAGTGATTAGAGAAAGGAATACCACTAGCATTATATGTTTCATGCGATAAAGTTTGTTTTGAAAAATAATCCTTTCGTTCATACCAATTTCCTTCTGCGATTTATTGTACTAATCACTGGCTCAATACGACCCACTTCCGAGACCCTGTATAGAATTTCAACCTAACGGATTGGACAGACGATCACATAACTGATATGGATGAGTGAATGACCACATGATAGACTAATAACTTGTATCATCTTGTATGATTAGTCTAGACTTCTATGTCTAGTCGTTTCTTGATGCTTTTCCACCTGTATTCCTTGAATATTGAAAAAGAAAAAGACCGATTTACCCTGAATCATTTGGTAGACTGCAAGAGAATTTCTAAAAAAATAAGCCCCCGTCTCTATTAAGCCAACCCCAGGAGCCCCTGCCCCCCTCCCTCTTAAATGGGCTTCAAATAAATGAGCCCCCCCCGGGGGGGGCTTAAAATAGCGGATTTACAGTATGTAAAGATGAAAAAAAGATGACTTGTAACTTGTTTACAGTACCTGTCTATGACGGATAAAGTTGAGGGAGTTGAGGCTGGTGGGTCCCCTGGAGACCCCATTCTTCTTTGAGAGAGATTTTCAAGAGACCTCCTTAGACAAAGGATGACACTTAAAGGAGCCAGGGACAAACTCTAGGTGACTGTAAGGAAATGTTCCCATATAATAAAGAGGTACTGATATTTCGATCAGCTGAGAGTTGGCCCAGCGGCTACTGACCTGTTGCCACTGTCACGCCAGAATGCATTGATCCCTACTGCTCTCGCGCCTTAGGGGTGTTAAGTCTTACAGAATTCAAGTGCAGCGAAACAAAAACTTCATACTCACGCCTACCTACGGCTTAAAAACCAATTGAATTCTCGCCATAAGCATTGACGTACTGGGCCTATTAAACTGAGAAAAGTAAAGAAAAGGCCACATACATATTAAACTGTTTGTTCCCCGACTCGTTGCAAGCTCAAATTGTTATGAAAGGTCAGGAGTATTTATTTAAAACTGATATTCTAAATACTCTTCGAATGGCTGGATACCCTAAGGAATCCTCGGGCGTCTCCCGGATACCCTAGGGAACCCTCGGGCGTCTCCCCGTATGTTTGGTTGTTTTCTGAAATAATAGCTGCCTGAGGTTAAAAATCTGATGCACGTTTTCTTGGTGACTTAATTGGAAAAGTTTTTATTATAATGTTCTTTTGTGGGTTTCAAACTCGGAAAAATCCAATATTGGCAAAGTGGCTGTGAAATCTGGCGCCTTATTAAGAATGGTTTTTATTTTATCCTCTTTTGTTAGGTAACACACTCAAGGCTGCGGTTTTAAACACATATTTCCGTGCATAAATCATACTTTTGCTTGCGCATGCGTCTCTCGGAAGAGAGGAAAGAGACTTAAGAAAGAGACACTCATAAATATAAAGGTCATTCTTTGAATTTCCTGCTTAACAGTGAGGATCTCAGAGGGAACGGAATTCTGCTTTTCACACATCATTCATTGCTTTCCATTGATTGCCGCCAAAAAGACCACGGGATATCTATTTACTGAGTTCCTGCAGATGAGAATTTAAAAGAGTTGCAAATTGTTTCCATAGCAGAGGGGCGTTTTTTAAAATAATTGCTTCTTTAAGCTAAGTTGTTCGAAAATCTTCTGCGGTTTCTTTTCGAAATGAAGTCTTCCTTGATCTTGCTTAGTTTGCTCTGTTTCATCGTGGTGTCAGGAAAAAGCTACTGGCATAGATCAAGAAATTCAGGTAGGTAGGTCTGTTGATATGTTTACGCAGCTTTGCCTTGTTTGGTTTTATCCTTTAAAAAAATAACGATAAACAAAGATTCTTAAAGACACAAACGTTTATCGTAGTCATTATCAACGTAGCGAGTTAAGCACCAGAGAAGAGCAAGTCCGCAGTGAAATAATGAGTGTCTATACTTGAGACTGGAGTGTTTCGTTGCACCAATGTAAACTAAACAACCCCAAAGAAATGTTCTGGTGCATTCCTTTCCACTTGGATTTGTCTTAAGTAGATTTGGACTCAAGTGATTTAATGATTTAAGGCGGGTTTGGCACTGTTTCAAAGTGAATCAAAGAAACGAAGATAAAAATATAATTGTAAGACCATGCATGAAGAACAATGTATGAAGAAAGTCGAGAACAGGATGAATGGCTTGATGTTAACAAGATTGTGTTTGTCAGTATACAAATAAGAGGTTGCAGATCGCTTCTATGACCTTGTTAGGGAAGCCATTATTGATCGTTTTGTAGTGTGGAATGCTTACTAGAAATGTTGTCTCAATGTTTCTTTGCTATTCTTCTGGTTTGACGTCTCGAAATCACCCATCACTGTAAAAAAAAAAATTTTCAGTAAATGACAACCTGTATATTCGTAAAATAAACATAATAATAAACTACAGTTACACTTCATTCCATAACTTCACTTATTTTATGATGCCGTCGATTGTTGATTTTGTTGTTGAGGTATAGCAATTTCTTGGTAAGCGATTGTAACACATCACTATTTTATTCAAATCTGCTTTCTTGGATGAAAGGCTGGGTCAGATTTCCGGAGAATCTGTAATTAGTAAAAGGTCGTAAACTTCAATAAAAGCCTTAACATGGCATGCTGTTGCTGTTTCAGTTGTTGATAATACTGTTGACAGGCTAATGGAGAAGAGCGCAAAACATGTTTTCCAACAGATTCAGCCAGTTTCTCAGTTCCTTAGAGGGACACCTAATCGCCGAGAGCTCACAGAAAAGTCTCACACCTACTCATCAAGTTTTATTATTATTATTATTATTATTATTAGTATCTATTTTGCTTTTATTGAGGCAGTGTTTGTAATACTGAAGCAATCCAGTGTTACAGTATTACAGAAACCCAACATTATCCCAGTTTCGACTGCGGAAGACTTCCTTACTTCTCCTCCCTCCGCATGATTCTGCGGTATTTGGTATAGATCCGAACGACCCAAATACTAATAACCAAAGTCAGAGTAGGCGAGGTGAACGATCAACCAGGTTGCGTAAATCGATTTTCAGATCGCAATCCAAAATTGATTGGTTCCTAAATTGAACAGAAAAGAAGTGGTTTTCGATCTCAGACTACATAGGATTTGGATTGGTTACAAGGAACTCTCCATCTTCTCTTGACTCCAATTCTACTACAGTTGAATATCTCCACAACGGCCACCTTGGGAACAGAAGAAAGTGGATGTTGTAGAGAGAGGTTTGAACAAGAGTCAATGTACGTACTGTTTACCAAAAATGTGGCCGTTTTAGAGAGGTGGCCGTTAGTGAAGGTTCAAGGGTTATCCTGACCTCTAATTTAAGTCAATCAACGCCGACGGTACAGGGTGCCTATCTTCATATTTATTGTTCTCTATAGCACAGTGACATGATTTTTTAGTATCTATATAAGTAATTTCCAACAAAAGTTATTTCGGTTTGGCTTCTCAATTGGCTGAAAAGTCCCATGCTTCATATCAGCCATTCAGAAGTAAAGCCATCTGCTCTGCTCTTCGATTGGCTAACTGTATTTCCTTCTTGCTCTGGTTGGTCCATTTCATTGTCTTTTCCCACATCTATCCGCCAAAGCAATTTGGTTCTGGTTCTGGTTGTGTACTATTCATGGGTAAATTTAGTACTCTTTATTAGTTTAGACAACCAAGGGCAAGCAAATTATCAAGAGAGCTATGTATCTTAAAGGGCGTGATACCACAAAATATGTTAAAGGGATGCGAAGTCTGTAGATGACATCATTAATAATTGTTGAATCTGGTATTTCAGATCCAGTTGCTCCGGAATGGGATAAACTGTCAGGTATATTAATCACTCGATAGGTACTTAAAGAAAAGTAATTGGGAGGAAATTTCCATTTCCGTCCTCTTTGTTTAATCATAATCAGCATAATCAATTAATCAATGGTTTTAAAAACCCCTGTCTACCTTAAATCCCTTCACAAACCAGGCGCGGAGTTAGGATTTAAACACTGACTGATTTCCTAAACAAGCGAAGGAGCAAGCTTCTAAGGGGTCCGGGGCAGGCTTCTACAGGAACGTTTTTGGATTTTTAACTCCTAAATTCCCCTTTCCTGGGTTTCCAGGTCATTCAGACAGGATATTGGCCAGATTTCAACTGGGAAAGTGTTTTTTATTATTAAAAATATATTTGTTATGAGAAATCTGACGGTAGAAACCAGAGTGAATCTACGCCTGTAAACCTTGGATGTCCATGACCTTTACACGAGTCCAACTGATAATAATGGCTGAATTCTATTCAATAAAATTATACGGAAATCTCGCTCCGAACCTGAATGATTGATTAGGTCTTATAGGAAGTTGGCCGTTTCCCGTACCGTAAGAGTCTAAAATTTTGGTCCGAACGTGATAAAACAATTGCGTGTAACTGTCCCTACACCCCCATTTAAAGTCTGAGGGAAAAAATTTGAATACGATTCAAATATTAAAAAGAAGCTGTTTTCCAATAGCCTCCTTGCATGAAAGTTTGAGAGTTCTGTACTGAATTGTGGCTGCCGAAATGGATTGTGCCCCATGACTGTATGACGAATACAAAAAAACTGGTGTTTAGTTCCTGTTATAGATTCTGCCCCGGCTAGGGAATGCAACACAAAAAGTCAAGGTAGTTTCATTAACGTAGTCAAAGATTGTCGCTGTCAACAAGGGATTAAATTAATAAATTTCCCACGTACACGCAAAGAAAGAGATCATTAGCGCTAATATTTAATCTCTGACGAGTTTTTATCTTGATTTAGTAACATGGTTGAAATGGGAAGAACTTCCACTGACTGTAAGTGATGCTGTTGATAAGGGATGGACTTTACAAGACAAATGCCAAGGTAACGGTTCATTTATAACAGAGGATACACAAGCTAGTAGGAAATGTTTACACACACTTCCAGGATTAACAAACCCTTGATTTCCCTTTTTTCAGACAACGCTTATTACCGCGGTAACCGTTACGTTCGCGACGGAAACATTACACTGATGTTGCTATTTGATGAAAACAATAGAATAGCGGGGCTACAAACAGGAGTAAGTAATTTCCGTTTCATCTGTATTCCATTCTAAACGTGTTTTATTAGCCTGAGAAAACAGCCAACATTTCGCGAGGCTACTCGTGGTTTCCCCCGCGAAATGACGTCTGAGTAACGAGCGCAGAAATTCCAAACTGATGACGTGTCACTACCCAGATATGGGTAGTGCTTCTGATTGGTTGAAGAGACGGCAAGAACAATCAGAAGCACTACCTACATCTGGGTAGTGACACGTCACAGGAGAGAATTTCTGCGCTCGCCTCCTCACACCGGTCATTCCGCGGTTAAACTAGTGGTGGCTTTGCGAAATGTCTGCTGTTTTATTTGAACATACACACACTCACCGATGCTATTAACAACAAGTCAGCTCGTCAACACCATGCTAGTGCCATCCTGTACTCCTAGGCCCATCTATTCGAAGGCCAGTTAACGCAGAACTGGGCTGACTGTAGAAAGTCAAGGTAAGAGGAGAGGGGCGGGAGAGAGAGAGAGAGAGGTCTCTTCTCTTATTCTTTCCTGACTCCCCCTAACTTTTTTTTCACTGCTCAAAGTCCCGGATATTTTGAGACCAAAACTGGCGACCAAAAAACTGCGCAAAAAAGTTCATTACTGCTGATTAGATATTCAGTCTGTTAACCAACTGGTAAGCTGCTGTTTGTAATTTGTTACATATCAGAATGGTGATACCAAGTGAATTTTGGTATGTAATCATATATGTAATTTTTGGTGTGTAATCATTTAATTTGAGAGAGCTTGTTCAGATTGATAATTGCAAAGATAACACAATAATTATAGAGTCGTTAATACCATATGAAGTTTATTTTGATGATATGTGTGTTACTTTCGACAGATTGCGAAATCAGCTTTCGGTGCTAAAAAAGGGTTACCGTGGAAAGAGGAGAATGGCAATTACATAATAACGGCTTACTTCAAAGATCCAAGTCTAATTTGTTCCCACAGACCCTCGCAAGCCAAATATATCGGCGACCGACTTTTGATTCAGAAAAGTTCAACTCCGTATGACTTCATCCATGTGCCTTTACTTGAAGATGGACTATTTGAAAGCGCATGGACGGAGGGTGAATGCTTTTGGTCAATGGGTAAGCTTGCACCGATCTAACCGCGTTATCAATCTACCTAATCTTACATACGTTAAGGGAACTGGAGCCGAAATGCGTCCCGCTATTGTTTCAGGGATGGTTACTGCAGACGCGCCGGTCAACTATTCGCCAATTTTTTCCTCTTTCCTGAGTTACACTCCAAGAGATCTTTGCAAAACGTAACTCGATAGGCTAAGTTTCCTTCTCATGTCTCAAATGCTTTGGGTAGTTATTACGTTTAACATAATACTAAGAAGCCTTTAGAAAGAGAGAGGGCATCAGCTCTTGAATATGGTGAATCGCTGGTGGTAATTCCCAATTACACAGAGAGCAACGTCTCATCAGTGGGAGCTCATATGGAATAAACTAGCAAACTGGCCAGCTATTTCCCAATTTCTCTTTGTTGCAAGTGGAGCATGCGCAACACATTTACGTGCATATTGAAATCAATTGTTGGCTTTTCTTTTAAAGGAAAATTGTACTGGTATGACCTGTCAAACGTTGCTGATTGTGACTCCGTCTTCCCTGTGTTTCTAATGTTCACCAATGGCGTGCTGAACGGTTTTGGCTGGGTTCTTCCCTTTAAAGTTGACAATCCACGATTTGTACATCCTACTAAAGAGTCGTTTCCGGTACGTTAAACAAAATTTAACTAAGTGTAAGACCGGTCTTAAGCAAATATCTCGAGTCCTCAGTATATAAAATTGACGAATTTGAAACAGATGTCCACAACTGAGGAAAAATGAAAGAAGAAAATAACAACAAATAATGACCTCAATAAAAACCTCCAAATAAGCTTTCAAAACTCCCAGCATTTGTTCTTAGAATTATTTCAATCGCCTATGAAAAATACAGGGCGAGCACAAAACGGAAACAGGTGAGCTTCGATTCGGGTTCTTAGTAGATACCGTAGTAACATGCCCTAATCAGTTTTTCTTCTTAATCGGGCCTTTTACTTAGCAGTGACTGGTTTGGCTTTATTTTGCCCAAATTGTCAGACTGGTTTCCCAAGACACCGAACTTAGCGGAAATCATTACGATCTTTCGCCCCATATAAGGGAATCCGGATTACGGAATCCGGCAAAATCAGGAATCCTGAGCTTTGGAATTCGGAATAAAGCTCAAGGAATCCGGAATCCCGTTAACGATTGGATTCCAGACTCCAAGTTTCACTGACAAAGAACCAGAATCCAATACCTGGGATACGGCATTCACTGCATGAAATTTAGAATCCAGAGCTGCCTTGGATCCCCTTACAAGGTGCTATAGAGAAAGTCATTAATATTAATCTTAAGTACCTTTGATTGTTGTTTGGCTGGTTCGTTGGTTTTGGATAATAAAACGTCGCAGATCGTTAAAAAAAGGGGAAAATAGTCTTTGAGTCCGGACTTTAAACAGACTTATCTCTATAGTATTGAACGTCCGAAACGTAGACCTTTTCATGCGCCATTAACTCTGAGTGTTGTCCTTATTTTTCTTTGTATTTCTTCATTACAGTATCTTTTTAAGAACGCCACTGTACCCGACTGTTTTCGGAACACTGGTTATCTGTCCTTGATGCATGTCTACTTAGATTCCAATCCATTCTTCAACATTTGCTAGATGAACTTCCGCGGAAGGTGCAGAAAGAGGAAGGGCGTTTGCTACTCTTAAAGTATTAGATAGAATTCCCATATTTCTGTAGATGTTCAGGACCCGAAATAAAACAATGAAATAAAGATCAATTATAAGTAGTTCCCATTTTGCTCGGCCTGGGTTGGGGAAGGGCGTATTTTTCTCCTGAGGGATTGTTTAGTTTAATTTCCGGCTCTAGGCTTCTTCGCTTTTCGTTGCAGCTGTTGTCAGTCTTTGTTCCTGTTTAGTTCTGTTTGTGTTCATACGTCTGCTTTAGGATTCTTTTAACCTTGACAGTGGGAGCCTCCAGATTGGACCATGAACGCGATATTGAGAACCAGTAAATGTTCTTGACGGACAGTCTACACATTCACTCTTGTTTCAGCCACTCTACAACGGCCACTTTCTTCCGTTCCCAAGTTGGCCGCTGTAGACAGGTTCAACTGTATTCTCTTAGAAGTCAAATTTAAACCTTGCAAATTAGAAGTTTCATATTGCAAACAAAAAAAATTGATCTTATCTTCTGTACTAACTTGCTTTTAACTCCGTTGGGTATTGGCCTTGCAAGACATGTGACAGCAAATTTAAACGAAAACAGGTGACGAGAATATTTTGAAAAGTAAACGAACTTGCGTAAATAAGTCGAAAGAAACTCTAAATTGGACTCAGACTCAGTTTATCTTTACTATTGCAGTGGCAATCACGTTGAAATAACAGTTGAAGATTTTTCTTCTTTCGGTCTTGCCCTAGTTAATCCTATTTTAACACATGCTATATTGTCTGTATTCAAGCAAGTTCGAAAACCAATTTCAGCTTATTTCTACTGATTATAATTGTAGATTAGTCCTTGTATTATGTATTTTTTGCATATGTTGATAGTTACCGGATCACCTTGCATCAAATAAATTAAAAAACAAAACAATATAATCGATCAAAATTTTTATCTTTCCATTTCCTTGGAACATGTTCTCTTCTTTCCAAAAACGTATATTTCATGCGACCATTTCCTGAAATTAAATGACAAAAATGCTTGGTTTTCCTGTGCTGCTACTTCGTTGTGATGGAAACCGAGTCAAATATTTACGATTTGCATACGTAGTTTGTAACAACCAAGAGAACAACAAACCTTGTGATCGCGTGCCGCCTGTACGTCACAGTCAATTAATCACGCGGTTATTCACCAACTTGGTCATATCTAGTTCATTTGGCGAGCGAGATAAGAGTTGGGATTATTTGAAACACTGGCCGTGTTACTTAGTCAGATACTTAACGCCATGGTGCAGTTGGAAGGTGAATTAGTGAAGAACCAAAACCTCGAACTCGACAAAGATTACCTCGTTCTTGCAAGTATCGATTCCTCATCGGACGACGACGGCCAATGCGACGAAAACGATGTCTTCAACACAAGTTGCCACGGAAGTCATTTCAAACGAATGAAGGAGGAACCGACACAGTGCGACGAATATGCCATCAAGCGAAGAAAGCTTCACACACAACTAGACTTGATGAATTCTATACTCATGTCCATGTCTTTCGGTGGGAACGTTACATCCTCTGATGAACTATTCAGTGACGGTTCTGCTTCATGCAGCAAACGAACGGTGTCAAGGAAATTGCCAACCAAACGACTGGCCGCACGAAAAACGAAAAGCAACAACCACTGTAGATAGAAGAGGTCATACACATTCTCGCGATTGCGATACGAACACAGCAAAAGGAGATACCAAGCAAAAGAACTAAGGGAAGTCGGCGAGTTTATTGACAGCGAAAAGCATAAGTAATAGCCATCGAAGTCTCCAAAATAGTGTCAAAAATAAGTAGGAAACTATCATGAACTTGAACAACTAGCTAGAAAATAGAACAGGAGCAAAGAACCGATGACTTATGACTACCTTAAAAAACAATGTTACAAAGAAGAATTAACAGATGAGATAATACGACCAATGTAGCTGAAGAAATCTAAAAATTTGTACAGTATTTCTACGACAAAAATTCTAATTACATATTGGAGAAAAAATATTTATATGCTTATTTATTGTAAAAAGGGCTAAGAGATAGATTTAAATGAAAAAAACAAGGAAAGTTGTAACTACATCAGTTTTAACAATAAAATTATTCCATTGTCAGAAAGCTAAGAGTTGTTTTGAGTCGGCAGTGCTGGTTCTAAATCGTAAGACTCTTTTCGAGTATTTCCAACGATGAAATCTGAGTCGCGACGATCGCTATTGATGAAACGACGATTACGTTTTAGAGTAAAGCGACGATCACATTGCCATTCAGATCATATTGAGTTCGACAACGTTAGTCCTGCGCTAAAGGCAAAGAAATCTGCCAAAAAGTGTGCTGCCGCTTCAGAGTTTTTGTTTTGCTTATTAAACTTGTTCTTTTTTATATTTTCTCATTCCATCTTCGAAGGCCGCGCCGTGTTTGCTTAAGCTCTCTGGCAGTGTTAACCCGGGCCCGCAAAACAATTCTTGATATGCGACAATTTTTTGCTGTGAAAAATCGACGATTTGATGGCTAAAAACGCGCGACGAAAACAACGTCCGCAGACTGACCCAAAGAGAGCCCCAGTCGTGCCCCAAGGAAGAATATATCAGTAAATTAATAGGAAACATCGCTTGCATCTACCCAGGACTAATTACTTAATATTCTTTTAGGTCCAGCAAAAAATTATATAGCCTAGCTCATTACATCCTCTGAAAAACCATCTTTTGTGTGGTTTGCCTTCAGAAAACGTCATATTTAGATATTGAAGTTGTTATATTTTTGCAAAGTAAATACGCAAAATTTAGCCAAGCACGTTACCAATATGTGTAGAATTATTTTAATCCTACTAAACACTGTTTTGTGGTAACGTAAATTAAACGCATCACTTCATGTTTTGTTTTGCCTTAACTGTGTTGATATGATGGTCCGCTTGTTACGTTGCCCATGGAGATGAGTAGTAGGCTTGACTTTGCACAAAGGAACTCATTCAATACGCAACCATCGAAACGAAACAAAACATTTTTTTTGTAGATGACTATATTGAGCGAAAGGATCAACTGACTTCAGGCGGTCTTTAAAAAGAATGTTCGAATAGTTTAAACGGATTTTTAGCATCTTTTTTATGTCTTCCAAAGTTTGTTGTTTCGTTTCGGTTCTAGTTGCCGAAAGAAGGCACTGGTCACACTTAAATAAGCCTTCAATTTAATTGTATGGACTCAGACAGACAGATTCAGATGAACAGCGTATATCAAAAGAGTATACTTAGTAAACAACATTTTAGACTCGTAGATTATACTGAGTGGCACGATGTGGCTACCTTTTATACATAACAACACAGTAATAAAATGTTGCTGTTGTTGAAGGTAAAAGACAGTATCATTTCCAAATATACCGTCTTTCGTGATGTTGCCATGCAGAAATGGCGTGTTTTGTAAAGGGTTAAATGTTAATTCAAATGTCGCCACCTGCATGAATGCAATATTATAGTTATGCACGCAAGTCATTTTCTTTCCATTAACCAAATCAAGATACCATTAATTCGGTTATAAGGTTCCTACCAAATTCAACAGTACTAAATATTATGATGTTAATACTGATAATGTTGATCATGACGTACCTAACCTTATCGTGGTGTTATAATGACTATTTATAAAAGCAGATATTTAACAATTATTCCACGAGCGCGCGTTGGATATGAGATGGTAGATGGTTTAAGCTGCACCACATAAGACGATAGTCACCAATGGATAGGGACATTTTCCCAGGTTATAGGCCAAGGCCCTTAAGTTATCAAGAAATTATTTCGTTTAGTAACAGGTCGTAGTCTTATCTGAGGGATGCATAAAATTTATCGTTCAAAATAATACCGCCAATCAAGCCTCTCCGAACAGGGCCGTTTCATGAATAACCTCTACTTCACAAGGGGTGGGGGAAGGGGGGGTTAAATTTTTTCAGGATACTTACAAACATGGACCTAGAAATCAAAGCTGTTTTATACTCGTAAACCTTTCATTAAGCTTATACTCTCAGATACACCAGTCACACTAACAGTATCCAATGGCAACCAGTTCTTGGATTTCAGTCAGTCTCCTGATGATAGCTGCTGTCATATGTGTATTACAAGGTAGTTTAACATATACAAGGGAAAACAGTAACCGTCAATAGTGTTCGGAAGGCTGCTACTTTTTATACCTCTTTTTTTCTTGTTCCCTTCTCCACTGGCCCAATGTTGAATACAACCGTGAGTATTTGTGCGGGTAATAGTTCTATATTGCAACATTGAATAGGGGTGACGGGGGTTAAAATTATTGAGGAAGACTTTTTAGCGATAGTACCGATCGTAAAGAGGGAGTGAGGGGAGGGGACCGAGGCGAACCTACAAATTGAATCTCAAAGAAGCCGAGCACTTTCTCGTCGTCGAAGAGCGTCAATCGCATATACCAAAATATACCGACTAACTGAAGTCTATAAGTGACAGCGTTGTAAAATATAAGACGGTAATTTCTTCGTGTCAGTTTCTTGTGAAAATACAGAAAGTCTGTTATGTTGCTGCTTTTTCTCAAAGTAGAGATACTGCAGATACAAAGTAGGGCCCTGTAAGGTCATCCAGATTCCGGAATCCGGGGAAAATTTTGCTCGTGAATTCCGGAACCCTCGGTTTTCGAGTCCGTAATCCAAATCAAGGAATCCGGGATCCAAGTTCCACTGACAAGGAATCCGAATCTGGCAGTACCTCGAAACCAGAATCCACAGCCTGGGATCCAAGACTGTCTTGGGTTACCTGACATAGGGCGAACCAAGGTAAATCAGTGGTAAAAAATAAGCGCAAAGCGGAGGATATTTTGTTGTAATAAGTAATATTAGCCCTTTTCTTGTTGCATGACATAATTCCATGGTTGGAGGTTTGGGTAACTGGATGACTGACTGCGAGCAACATAAATCATCAGGTGGCTTCCGTGTTACGACTCGATTACGCCTTTTCACAGGCCGCAATGGTTGCTACTTGGGACGCGAGAGATGACGAATTAGACGAGGTCTGCAAGGAACATTTTAAAACTTGGTAAAAATAACAGAAACTGGAAAGACTTCAAGTGCTATGTGTACACACCTGAACACGAAACGTACGCACCTATGGTAGAGGTAAGTGTAGAAACTTTTGCTCTTCTATAAAGCAACAAAGGCAACAGTGAGATCGTGAAGGCTTGTTGGATCATATCACACTCACTTCTTTTCCTTCCCCAGGTCGGGTTAGTCCGTGAAAAGGAAAACGAAAGAACCTGGAAACAAAGTTGTTTTGGTAGTAGTTTCCCGTTGATTTATTCTCTTCTATAAGTTTTTGACCAACAAGACTGACGTTTTATTCATTTATTTTTCTCTCCACCAAGTATTACAATTCTATTAATTTTCTTATCTTTTAATAAACAAGATCCTGATTAGGACAGAAGGGATGCTCGTTTTAAATGCTTCCTTCGTATCTCAGCAACCGAACGCAGTGACTAGAATCACCACGGTCAGCGGCTTTAACATAACATAACATAATCTTTATTTATTATATAGACAGCAGTGTTTTACTGGAAAATATACCACTCGTAAAATTCATAAAAACTACATCCGGGACCCGAGTGGTTTATTTTCCATAATCTCACACGTGAGTTTATCGATGACGTAATTTTGGTCATTTCCCTCTATTATTTTATCGATGTCTTTTGTTTTATATAATAAAAAGAACATTACACGGCGGCTTGTGGCTCGTGGCAAAAACAATATTTTACTCACTCGCTGCGCTCGTTCGTAAAATATTGTTTTGCCACTCCAAAATAAAATTCATATCTTCGCGCCACCGTGTAATATCCTCTATTTAACGTGCGAGAAACACTTAGCTAAAGCTATTTTGCAGGTTTTCCACAAATCAATATTAAGAAAGAAAGAAAGAAATATGTACATAGAAATGTAAAAATATGAAATATCTAGCATCTAAAATTACAAAATTAGATAACTAAAATTGAATGTTCCTCACTTGTTTGTTAAATTCTAGACCTCCAGCTATTAAACACAATTCATTTGGAATACTGTTCCATTGTTTTGCGGCGAAATATCTGAAGGAGTTTAATCCATACTTTGTAGTGTTTACTTTTGGCAGTGATAGCGTGTTATTGCCCCTTAAATCGTACTTGTTGTTTCTTATTTTAACGAGTTCCTTAATGCATGTGGGGGCGGTGCCTTGAAAACAGGCGTTGATAGTTATTAACATGTCCTGGACACGACGGTTTTCCTTAAATGGATTAAAGTTGAGCTTACTCCCAAAGGGAAATGGGCGCAGGAAGCAAGCTGAGTCCCATTGCAGGAAGATTTGTGTTAACCCAAAACATCAAAGTCCTTAACCGTGATCAAATTATCACGTTGTCACGGAGAGAAAGAGTTGGTTACCGTTAGTCCTCTTCGTCCTAATTCCAAAGATAGGATATCCAACGATAGGATATCTCCAAATGAATTAGCAATTATAGGATGAGACTGAGGGTAATATGAAGAATTATGCAGATTAAGAGTTCGGATAACAGCCTCCGAGGTCTGCATAATTCTTCATATCATACGAAAGCCGAATCCAGTAATTGGTTTCTTTTGTTTACCACTGACAATTTGAGTCCTGTAATGCGTAAAGGAAAGATTTAACGACAATTTGAAAATTTCAAATTCAATTCACAAATTTCCAACCCTCCGTGCTTTTGCACTCAACAGACGTAATAGAGAATTCTGCTACATAAAAACTTGATAATCTATCATATTGGACGAGCCAGGTAACCTCATCTGACAAGTCTTAGACAGCGAGTCCTGACGTTTTGACATCTCTGAATATCTACATCAGTGATTGTTACATTATTTGCTTATAAGTCGATCTCAGATGACCTGACATGAAGACGATAAACAGCAAGGGGCCTCACACCCTACCTTGAGGAAATCCATGGCTGCCAGTTGTTAAAATCTTTCGTTTCGGGATTTAAAATGATCCTCATCATCGCAAACTACTTGGAATATATGATAACTTTAAACTGATACATTTAGGTGCAGTTGTTGTTTGATACAAGCCACTTGCTGGGTTTCACTTTTGTAGTATTAATCGAATTCCAATTATCAAATAGCTATCTACTTTGTTCAGGAACAGTCAACCTTCTCAAGGCGGAAGGCGCACAGCCGTACCAAGCAACTAGAGTTCTGACCCTACCTTAGGTTGAAAATTCTCACAAGGGAGTGTCAAATATACGTGCATGGGTTCTCGGCCGCAAATTTAGTAAACTGTCGCTATCAATGAAGAAATTCCCCTCGCCTGAACAATGGAAATTCATTGATGAATCCTGCAGGCTTTGTACCTCAGAAATATCGTCAGCGGCCAAAGCTGAACTAGAGACTGGAGAATGGACTGATGAAAAAGACAAGAAATCAAACTCGAACAGGTTGGAAGCAGGAGAGATGTTGACGCCAGGTTGACAAAGCAGACGGTTGAGGGTTTGGCATGGTAGACGAGACAACGATCGCGCATATGAGATGATCTCTGGACCCGTCCCAGAAAGGTCGCGTGGGCAAAGACTCAGGGACGCGAAAGTAAGCTGCCTTTTAATGCTCTTGATGAGCTGTGTGCATTCACCACTATCATCATCATCAGCATCAGCATCGTCGTCATCATCATTATCTTCCTCATCACTGCTAGTATGTAAAGGCTGCATTGTTGAGTTTCGGTTTTTCTAAAAATAAAGTATAAGAATAAATAATAATATAATATAAAGGGGGCATAAAGTCAAGTGTGTAGTTTGTAAGTGTCGAATAGCTTATTGTTACTTCTGACATATAAAAGATATTCGTGCCTGTGGCCTCTTTATGACATCATATCATGATTGCCTTCTATTGTTTCAAAACATTGGTCAATCCATAGTTTCAACATATACCATAATGCACCTTGTTTACCCCTCCCTCCCCTCCCCTCCCCAAACTTTTGAATAACCATTGTTTCCAATTTCTCCTGGGTGTTGTGAATCTTCTAATTGTACTGTGTGGCACGAAATTTTTGCGGGTGTTTATTTTTGCAGATTGGTGATTTTTTGTGTGTTGCGGGAATTAATTTTTGCGATTAGGACAGATTGCTTTTTCATGCTGGGAATTAATTTTTGCGATTTTCAGAAAGTACCAAAAGCCATGTTTTGGTTCTTGAAATTACCCAGTACCCAGCATTGATAATATTTTCGTTTTTGTTAAGTACGTGCAATAGAAATACATATTACAATACTACGGTATGCGTATGAGGGAAGTTGTAATTGAACAGAACCAAGAACGAGAAGTCCAAAGACTACTGCAAAGCTGATTTAAGACAACGTGTATTGTTTTTTATAACAATATTTCGGCTGGCCATGCCAGCCTTCTTCAGGTTTACAGATGTTTACGTTATGTTTCGTCCACGGTTTTTGCAGTTAATTTACTCCTTTATAATTGAACAGACACGATTTCTTAGTACTGTATTTTTGAATAGCGAATTTAAGTTAGAGGATATTTACTCTGGAGTAAATTTTGGGAGGAAAAATCTTTGCGTTAATTTTTATTTGCGGGAACTTATTTTTGCGGATCGCTGGAAAAATCGCAAAAATCAAAACCCCCCAAAATTTTGTGCCACCCGGTAAGGTAGTGTTTCCTTGGAGAGAACACGTGGATAAAAAGCCCAACAACAGTGAAAAAGGTTGGAATCACTTACCAGAGATGACTTGTATTTTACAGAAGTTTTCCTCTTTAATGATATTAATTCCTCCTCTGTTCGCATGAGGCGTTCTTTCAAACGTTGAGTTTCTGCGATGGCCATTTCTTGACGAAGGTTATACTCTTTAGTCTCCATAACTAATCTTTTTAGAGTTTCGTCTTTCTCTTTCAGGGCTTCCCGTAACTGCTGGTATATCAGCTCCCTTTCACTTCGAGCTTCAAATTTCTCGTTTATGGCTTTAATCATTTCCTTACCGTGAAAGTCACACTGCTCCTTGTATTTATTGACAAATCCAGTAAGTTCGTCGTTTTGTGCTTTGACATTCAACTCTTGCTGTTGAGAATTTGCCAGCTCGAATTTCAGCTCTCGGATTTGTTTTCTGAGCTGAGAACAATTGGCCAACAGATTGTCATACCTCTTTTGCAATTCCTTCTTATTCTTCTTCTCGATATCAAAGCAGGCTTTCAGGGCTTCAGACCATTCTTTAAGCTCACTGAACTCCGCTTCCGCTTGGTCCTTCTCCATCTGAACTTTGTGCAAGCTTGTCGTCAGCTTCTTAGTTCGATCCAAACTACTTCGCCGTAGGGCTATCTCCTCTGCAAGAATAAGGGAATGCCTTCTTTCTTTCTCGTTGTAGTGCATTAGCTCTTCATTTCTTTTTCTCTCTTCTTCTAACTTCTTTTTTAATTGTTTCGCTTCTTCTTCTGATGTCACCAGTTTCATCAGCACCGCAACAAGCCCAAGAAACCAGCCACCCATGGCTTTCTCGAACTCTTTTCTCTGAACACTAGCGTCTTCTTCAAATTTCTGCGCAGTGTTTTGCGCTTCCTCTGCTCGTTCGACTGCCTTTCTTAGCTGATCCTTCACGGTCTGTAAACGTTTGAAGTCCAGCTCCCGATCAGCAGTGACCTTACTAAGAACCTTACTTTGCTGTTGATTTTCTTTCAGTAGTTGGTCATATCTTAGCGTCATCTCCTGCAAGTCCCCTACAGCTCTTTTCAAATGGTTACCGAGAATGTCCATGTCACGTTGAGGGTCCAGGTCTAGGATGCCAGGGTAACACATTAAGTTAATTGATGCTTGATTAAACTTCAAAATTCCCAAGATATGATTAGCAATTCGCCATTCTCCATTATGCAAATCATCATGATTTGCATAATGATGGCGCCGTGACGTAAATGACTAAATGTCTACGCCAGTTAGTAGCACGTGGCGGTGACCAACTCGAAAGCCTAAGCTTCTTTGGTCACTGCGCACATTTCACCTTTGCTAATTTATGTAATTTATTGTTCTAATTTTTTTTCTTACTTCTGTGATGTATTGTAATTTTTGTAGTAACCTCTTCAAATAGTGCAACAAATAGAAAAAATCTGAAGTGAATCTGAATCTTTCTGGCTGCTGTACAGTTTATTGTACACTAGAGAAGAGAATTTGGGTTTATATCAAAAGTGCACGTTCTGGTTGCTATATTTGCCTATTCTCATTATCTTTCTGTTGGAAAATGTATTGGATATCATAAGGAGAAGTTAGTTGCTGATCACTTCTGGGGTTTAAAGTATTTAGGGACCATGCAGCAAGTTGTGGTTGTCCTTGAAGAACTCAGTATCAACAAGAAAATAATACACAATTGCGAAACAAAACACCTGAAAGACAAGTTTGGTCAGAACTGAAACGTTTAGTGACCTGTCGTACAGTTAACCTTCTTATAAAAAGATTATTTTACCTGTCAACACGCACATGCCACTGACTTCATTAATAATAGGATTCTCTCCTGTTTGATGTAAAAAAAACCAACAACAACACTTAAAAAGCTTTCTCTAATGTTCTTTGCTTGGTAATTAAAAATAAGGCACAGCTAGCCTTTAGAGATAATAAGGCGAATTTTGAAGAAAAGATTGACATAATAATAATAAATAATGATAATAACTATATTACACAAAGAACGAAAAAATTCGTCTAAATCTCCCTTCAAAGGTGTCTAAAATAGAGCTATAATAGATTACTGTAGTTTTTATCGTAGAAGGTGCTGTGAACCCACACGCTGAAATGAGTCACAGCTGTTAAAGTTCTTTGATAAGACTGTTTAGGCCAACGCTGTATGTGCTCAAATGGATAGAAACTGAGGCTGAATCAGCTTTTGGATCCCTAAGGCCGGCTAAAATGAGTGGCACTTAAGCAGTAAAACAATGTGTTTGTTTTTATAGTGTAAGTGAACACTTGGGAGCTAGCTGGCCAAGCCCAAGGGACTTCCAAGATGTGTTTGCAAGAGAGTATTATCCGCTCACTGTCCCCTCTTGGTGCTTGCTATATTTGTGTTCACACAATACGGGATAACTTGATAAACTTTTCGTGCCGACAAGGAAAACTATCCGGTATAGCCAGTATCAACATCTATCTCGTATGTGAGACTAGCTCCACTTAAGAGATCGGCAGGGAGTAACTTTCCTGCGTTACAGGAATTGCGTCAAAACCACCGTTCTTGTGTTTGAACAGAATGGGAGAGCAAAAGTTATCCGGTAGGGTGAAAACATTTAGGATTAATATATGTTTCCAGCCGTCTCTTCCCGTTGTGTAGGGTATCGAGGTTTTAAATCTTATTGACTTTTTCATATCATTTCAAAAAACCGACTAAAGAAAAATATTTCCGCAGTTTTATAGCTAGAAACAGAAATTCACATCATGAATGAACAAGGCTAGAATTTTCCGGTTTTGTAAGGTAATGACGACGCGTTTGTTTCCGGAAACATATCCATACTCGATTAGAAAAAGCGTTTTAAAAAAATACTTATGAATCTGCTGCATCATGTTTCGCTGATTGTTTTTACTTCGTCCTCAAAACGGAGGAAAGAGGAACAATAATGCATGACTAGGCGCTGTGCTGTGACAAGAGTTAGACTGATAAAGAACGTTCGAGAAATGAACAAGGAAAAGCGCCATTTATAAAACGATACAATAACACATATACTTTTTTTAAAAGTCCTATACTGATTCGATCAATTTCGTTTTAGTTTAGGTCTCCTAATAAACGCAAACAGGACAAAAATTCTTTGACTCACTTGTTGTTGCTTTTTGACCGGTCAGCACCTCATAAAGCCCTGGATTTAACAGCTGCAAAACATCAAGAAAGTGCACCAAACCGTCTGAATCTTTCGTTTTCAGAATGTCTAGCAGTTTGCTGGCTTTTCGTTCTTTTGTCTTCTCGGCGTTCACCAGTTCGCAATCTTCACTGTCAAATACCTCTTTACTTCGCAAATGATCGAAAAGAAGCGAGCGATCAACACGTAGTTGCTGGACTATTTGCACTCTGTGGCTTTTTAAACTCTCCCAGATTTCATCCATGCTAAAATTCTTTGGAACGGCGTATCAACTTTTCAAAGTATCAAGAGAACTCCTAAGTGAGCCACAACTGCGAGTTCAAGCCGCCTTTTATTCTGTAGCGATCGATATAGTTCGGCAATTTTAAATTTCCTTCTTTGGTAGAAAAAAATCTCGAATTACTCAAACAACGCTGATACGACAAAAAAAGCTAATGGAGCAAGTAAGTGTCGTATTGACGTTTGTGGTTTTAATTAGGGCGGTGTGTGGGGCGTTGCCGTGAGATCGCAAGTAAATTTGTTTCTATAACACACAGAGAAGCAAACTTAATTATGCAAGTCTCATTTGTTTCAATGGCACAGTAAAGGAACTCAGAATACGTGTCAGCCGCTTGAATTATAGAACCTGCCTTGATCTGTGATTAAGGAATTCTTACACTTTTAATCAGTATTTTAAGTCAATACGGAAGTAGGATTCTGAACCCAAAGAACACATCCGGAATATTCGAGAAATGAATTTTCACAGTCACGTTAGTATATAAGTGTATGAATGTATGTAAATTCTCGAGCCGCCCATGCATAGCACGTAGAGTTTGCCGAACCAAAAGAACCAAAGGCAATATGGCAACGAGGCCAGTTTCTCACAAAAATCTACTTTTATGCGTTTTTTTGACGTCCGGGTAAAAGTTGGTATAATTAAGCCTGAGTGACAGACGTGGAAAGGGAAGGGGGAGGGTGGGAAATAGCAGGGATAAGGAAGGGGGGAATTGGTAAAAAAGAAAAGGCCTTCTATCTTTTCCATTTCTAGCTTTTCTCCCTATTTCCCCTCCCTACCCCTCCCTACCCCTATTGTGCTGTTACAGTGATATGGGCATCCCCGCGTTTTGGGCATTCCCATTCCCAAAACCGTAGTGATATGGGCATTCCCTGTAACCCTAACCCTAACCCTAACCCTAACCCAAATCGCTAAGGTAGGCCACGCAAGCTAAGGGTACACCTCAGCACGGGCCTCCTTGTAGCAAAACACAAATGTAATACGTCACTCTTAGGCTCAATCCTTCAACGATTTTCTATCAAAATAGAGAGGAGAAGTCCTTACGTCACGTTGCCATGGTAGCAGAATTTCTGGATGAAACAAACCCAAAATGTCACTTAAAAAGTGAATTCACATAGTTTCAAACTTCAGTCGATCTTATTCAATTTCATTTAATTTGCAAATGTTGGCGAAATTTTCTGGGGTTGAATCCGAAAGGACTGCATCTAAGTTTACTGAAAAGAAAAAGGACATTTTTGTGTTTTGTTCACCTACTCCATAAAGTGGGCGCCTGAAATTAGGAAGTTTCACGTCTCACCCCTGCAACGACGGCTAAGAAATGTACAAATAAGTGTGATGCACGTGCAAAGTTGTTCTGTTAATATAAACCTATTGCTTTTTTTGCCGTTGTCGTTGCCGCCGTTGCTAAAACTCCCCGTTCCAGAAATTTGGGTGCCATGGTAACGTGAAGTCACACTTCTCTCTGTGGCGGGTACCTTTTCAGAGCTAATGTTCTTCGCTTGGTAATTAAAAATAAGGCATTCTTTGTAAAGTTCTTCAATCATGCAGCTAGCCTTTAGAGATAATAAGGCGAATTCTGAAGAAAAGATTCAGTGAAGATTGACATAATAATAATAAATAATAATAATAACTTTATTACACAAAGAACGAAGGGTTTTTTTAGGTCCTAATCGGTGAGTAAAATCCAGTAGGGTTAAATTTGGGTGTCTAAAATTGAGCCATAATAGACTACTGTAGGTGCTGTGAACCCACGCACTGAAATGAGTCACAGAATAGGCTGAAGAAGTTCTTCGATAAGACTGTTCAGGCCAACGCTGCATGTGCTCAAATGGATAGAAACTGAGGCTGAATCAGCTTTTGGATCCCTAAGCCCGGCTAAAATGAGTAGCACTTAAGCGGTGAAACAATGTGTGTGAATTAACAGTGTAAGTGAACACTTGGGAGCTAGCTGGCCAAACCCAAGGGACTTCCAATATGCGTTTGCAAGAGAGCATTATTCCCTCTTGGTGCTTGCTATATTGTTCACACGATACCCGATAACTTTTCGTGGCGACAGGAAAAATCATCCGGTATCGGTCCTATCTGCATGGTATGTGAGACTAGCTCCACTCAAGAGATGGGCAGGGGGGCAACTTTGAGTCGTAACAGAAATTGCGTCAGAACCACCGTTCTTGTGTGTGAACAGAATGAGAGAGCAAAAGTTATCCAGTACGGTATGAACATTTAGGATAAATATCCGTTTCCAGCAGTCTCTTCCCGTTGTGTAGGCTATCGAGGTTTTTGAATCTTATTGACTTTTTCATATCACTTCAAAACACTGACTAAAGAAAAACATTTCCTCAGTTTTATGGCTAGCAACCAGAAATTCACATCGTGCACAAACAAGGCTAGAATTTTCCAGTTTTATAAGGTAATGACGACGCGTTCGCTTCCGGAAACATAACCATACTCGATAAGAAAAGTGTTCTAAAAAATACTTATGAATCTGCTGCATCACGTTTCCGCTGATTGTTTTTACTTCGTCCTCAAAAAGGAGGAAAGAGGAACAATAATGCATGACTAGGCTGTGCTGTGACAAGAGTTAGACTGATAAAGAACGTTCGAGAAATGAACAAGGAAAAGCGGCATTTATAAAACGATATAATAACACATAAGCTTTTTTTTGAAAAGTCCTATACTGATTCGACCAATTTCGTTTTTACATGGAGGAGATATTTTTCTTATCTTAAGTGTTTAAGGCCACGCTGCGAATCATGTAAGGCAATTTCAGCCTGTTAACAGCTGGCTATAAAATTGACTGAAATACAAATGCCCGAAATTTTAGACAGCCACAATGTGAATAAAACCTGAAAAAAGCCAAGACGGCATTCAGTAAACTTGAAGAATGTTGAACAGACTTTGACAATAAAGTTTATGGTCATTTAAATAACTTCACTAAAGTGCGATTTACAATGATCAGCAATAATCAAATGAACACAGTCGACTCTCTCAACGGGCACCTCTGGTCCCTGCCTTTCTTTACATTTATTTAACTCTCTACTGAGACGGACATCACCCTCAGAGACGGCACCTTAGCATCGGTCTCAAAAGCCGCCTTAGAGAGCCCTAGAGAAAGTTAAACGTGCCCGTCACTGGCGGATTTGATCAATAAAATACTTTCGCTTTGCCCCATTTTTAGTTTAGGGCTCCTACTAAACGCAAACAGGACAAAAATAGCTAAATAATCGTGGCCGAGGACCTTTAAAACGGGTTAAATTCTTTGACTCACTTGTTACTTTTTGACCGGTCAGCACCTCATAAAGCCCTGGATTTAACAGCTGCAAAACATCAAGAAAGTGCACCAGACCGTCTGAATCTTTCGTGTTCAGAATGTCTAGCAGTTTGCTGGCTTTTCGTTCTTTTGTTTTCTCGGCGTTCACCAGTTCGCAATCTTCACTGTCAAATACCTCTTTACTTCGCAAATGATCGAAAAGAAGCGAGCGATCAACACGTAGTTGCTGGACTATTTGCACTCTGTGGATTTTTAAACTCTCCCAGATTTCATCCATGCTAAAATTCTTTGGAACTACGTATCAACTTTTCAAAGTATCGAGAACTCCTAAGTGAGCCACAACTGCGAGTTCAAGCCGCCTTTTATTCTGTAGCGATCTACATATTTTTGCAATTTTAAATTTCCTTCGTTGAGTAGAAAAAATGCCGAATTTCTCAAAGAAGCTGAAACGACTAAAAAGCTAATGGAGCAAGTAAGTGTCGTATTGATGTTTGTGGTTTTAATTAGGGCGGTGTGTGGAGCGTTGCCGTGAGATCGCAAGTAAATTTGTTTTTATAACGGCACAGAGAAGCAAACTTTAAAGTCTCATTTGTTTGAATGGCACAATAAAACAATTCAGAATAAGTGTCAGCCGCTTGAACTATAGAACCTGACTTGATCTGTGATTAAGGAATTCTTACACTTTTAATCAGTATTTTAAGTCAATAGGGAAGTAGGATTCTGAACCCAAAGAACACATCCGGAATATTCAAGGAATGAATGTTAGCCAATATTAGCACAGTCACGTTAGTATATAAGTGTATGACTGTATGTAAATTATCGAGAAGCCCACACATAGCACGTACAGTTTGCCGAACCAAAAGAACCAAAGTCAGTATGGCGACGAGGTCAGTTTCTCACAAAAATCTACTTTTATTAGCCTGAGTATCAGGCCTTCCTAAGGGGCTAGGGGAGAGGAGATTATAGGTGGGGGAGGGGGGAGGGGGAGAAGAGAAAGTTTCTCTCCTTCAGCTCTCTCCCTTTTTCGCTTCCGTCTTTCCCCTTTTCCCCCAGAAACGCCTGATACTAAGGCTAACTTTTATGCGTGTTTTTGAGGTCCTGGTAAAAGTTGGTATAATTAAGCCTGAGTGACTTGGGGCGCCCGGGCGGTGGGAAATAGCAGGGAGAAGGGAGGGGGGATTTGGAAAAGAGGAAAAGGCCTTCTACCTTCTCCCTTTCGCTCTTTTCTCCCCATTTCCCCTCCGTCCCCCCGCCCCACTTTTATTGCGCTGTTGCAGTGATATGGACATCCCTTGTAACCTTAACGCTGACCCAAATCGTTAAGGTAGGCCACGCAGGCTAAGGGTACACCTCAGCACAGGCCCCCTTGTAGTAAAACACAAATGTAATACGTCACCCTTAGGCTCAATCCTTCAACAATTTTCTATCAAAATAGAGAGGAGAAGTCCTTACGTCACGTTGCCATGGTAGCAAAATGTCTGGATGAAACAAACCCAAAATGTCACTTAAAAAGTGAATTCACATAGTTTCAAACTTCAGTCGATCTTATTCAATTTCATTTAATTTGCCAAATGTTGGCGAAATTTTCTGGGGTTGAATCCGAAAGGACATTTTTGTGTTTTGTTCACCTACTCTATGAAGCGGACTCCTGAAATTAGGAAGTTTCATGTCTCACTCCGGCAACGACAGCTCAGAAATG